AGCAACGGCAGGTGTTTGCCATTGGCAGTCAGCAATGGCAGGTTTTTGCCATTGGTAGTCAGGGTGCTGTTTTCTAACCCTGGAATAAAAGCTAATCTACTCCCCCTAATTTTTGAACCCAGCTATGGCCTTGACTAACTGACTTATACATCATTCTCTGTATTTACAAAGGGAACCATTGGACATGGAATTTAGTATACAGGCTGACACATGAACTATAAGAGGCCCCTAACCTATGATATATATATCATTCTCTGATTTTCTAAAGGGCAGCATTGGATATGGAATATAGTATACAGGCTGACACATGAACTACAAGAGGCCCCTAAGGGTATGGAAGAGTTCTGTATGCCTGAGTCAGCGACACAGAATGTCATAGGTTCAGTGCCTTCTCCCAGAATTATCAGAACACACCAACTACCAAGTTCAATTCCAAAGACAGTATGGAAGTAAGACAATTTATGCACATAGGCATATTGCTCTCTCCAGGATTATGTGGAGAATCTTGTTATTTTCTAAGTGCAAGATTTGAGAGGTTTAGAGAATTATCAAACTTTATTACTACCATATTCTCCCTAATGAGTGTTAAATATAATCATCAATCAATATCTAATTGTGTTAATAATCAAAACTAGAAAACACCAACTCAATGGAGTAGCAAATTCCACCAAAGGTAACATATTTTAAAGACTACATTGTCATTTTGAACTGTACATGATAGAAAAAAAAGTTGAAATAATAATTGAGTAGTATTGTCTCCTTCGGCAAGATCTACACCCATGTCAATCACCAGTATGTAAAATTTCAACCAAATCTGTCCATTGATATTTCATCATCAAATATTATGTTTTTTACAAAAATGGCAGCCATTTTTTAATTGAGCTTCCATCTTCTTCTGGTATTTGAGTTATTACATGTAAAGGTAACATTTTCACAAAAAATGGTGACGGTGGCCATTTAGAATTGAGCAGTAATAATGAAAAACACTTCTCAAGCAGAGGTCCTACACTCATAAGGCATAGGCCTATAAAATTTGAACCAAATCTGTCAACTGGTATTTCAGTTATCGTCCAGACAAACAAACGAATAAACAAATAGATGGGCAGCTGCTCTATATCCCTTCAAACTTTGTTTGGTGGGATAATGCATTAAACTTTGTGTTTTATTGAGACCATATTCAAAATAAAAGTAGCATGTGCTCTCATTGGAACTGTGCACTCATTTGAGAGAATATGGTATCCTCTAATAAGATATACCATCTGAAAGGTTAAGGCATCTACTGATAAAAAATCAACTTTAAAATGTTTTTAAATAATACTCCATAATATTCAAAATTACCTAAATGTACATCTCAAATAAGATTTTGTGCCATTGAGGAAAATATCACTTGTGTCATTTTAGCACTGAATTGCAGATAAATATCATCTAATAATATTCCAGCGAGTGCAAGGCGATCAACCTTGTGCGTCACCCCAAAGATGCAGCATATAGCTCATACAAGTATTATTTAGCATCAATTCTTTATGGCTACAACGGAACATGGGAAGGTTACTTGCCTAATTGGCTTAAAGGAGAAGGTAAAATAAGAATTCATAGATTGTTTTCTTAAAGGCTAGCAACTCTCATTAAAATATCAGCTTACATCCACACTTTGGCACAGATAGTCAAGATTAGTAAGTTTAATAAACAGCATTGCTAAATACTTGATTTTGATTGGCCAATCTTGAGGACTTTTAAATTTGAAAAATGTTATCAGTGTTTTTAAATGTCCTATCACAATCCAACAAAATGATGAAGTTGAAATCAAACTGCAGAATACGAACTTGAAAACATTGAAAGATACACATAACAAAATTGGAAGCAATACATCTTCTCAATCAATATGAAATATGAGAAAATTGACCAGCTTAGTGAAAATATCAAAAATACAGTTATTTTGGCTGTTCCATTTGTCTGCCTCCTATTTATACCCCATGTCCCTCAATCATAAAGGATGTAATGTATAGGGTTAAAAATAATAATGTGTAAAAATTCCCAAAGCCAAAAGGGTCATAGTTATCACAAATCATACAAATGTAGACATTTTCAATATATTTGAAACACTTCCATCTGATTTCTTCCATTTGAATATATTTTTGTGTGCACTGTCCATATGTTTTAAACATCCTTTTTGGTAAATGAAAGTTTTAATTAAAAAATGAAAAAATGATTCATTGACTATTTCTAATTTTAAGTTTGTACCTTCAACACACTTACACAACACTCGCTAACACTGTGTATAATCCTATATTTATAGTGGCATGGAATGATTGGTTCAAGCATATACAAGAATACAAGAAACTAGCAGAAAATGTAGATATGCTGTTCCTCACTTATGAAGAAACCAAAAATGTCAGTATCATATGGTGATTTCTTTAAATATTAGGGGATTCAAAAGGTACATATTCGTAAAATGGTGTTCCAGTAATGATGTAGTTCATTTTAGTTGTATTTGTTTTTGGAAATGGGACTTTATTGAGTAATATTTTAGGACCACCCTACATTTATTAAATCACTCATCATTGAAAATATTTCAAAAGTGGCAGCCATTTTGAATTAAGTTGCCATATTGGAATTTGCTTGTCCTACAGAGGTCCTATTCCCATAATACTTCAGCCTCTAAATTTTGAATCAAATCCGAAAGCTGGTATTTCATTGATCATAAATTACATTTCTTTCATAAAGAAATGGTGGCCATTTTGAATTCCGCCACCTTGGAAAATGTTCTTAAACTTTGTTCAGTAGGATAATGAGGAATTATAACATGAAAAATGAACTCCCTTGTTCAAATAAGCATTCAATAACAAAATGTCACACTGTACCTCAATATTTTCCCCATGTAGACATCAATCAATTAAATCCAACTTTAATTTAATAGGTTAATTGATGAAAATGTATATTTTAAGGATACACTTGGTACCATAAAGAAGATAGCTGAATATATAGGTGTAAGCAGGGGTGAAGAAGACTATAAGCAAATCATTGATGAAACAAAGATTGATGTCATGAAGTCTCGCAATAAATAATACGAACCATATGCAAGAGATGGAAGAGGGGCAGATGTGATGTTCAGAAAAGGTTTTAATATATGATTATCAACATGTAATAATTATCTCATCTTATCCCAAGTAAAGGGTGTAAATGTAACTGGGATGGGGGCATAGCTAAGATCTTAAAATAGATGAGACAAAATTACAATTGTTAGATTTCATTTTCAGTTTATTTGAAAAATGCTGGTATATCTGAATTAATATTTTTATATGAAATTCTTCTGCGGAAATTTCCTCGCCTGCCTCATTTTTGGCTATGCCCATAGGGGATGGGTATCTTACACCTATTCTACTGCTGTCATTATTCCTCTAATAGGCTGCACATTTAATGTAAACATACTGTATTATCATTTTAAATCTGAAGAATGATACAGGGTTCTTTATTGCAATTCAGATATAATGTACTTATAACTCCTTTATAAAAAATGACATTGTTCAGTTCTTTATGAAACCATAATGCAGCAGCACTGTTACTAATTTTACAGAGTTGAGCTGATTTCTTGAACTTTGATGATCGGAGTATGAAAACATCTACAAAAATTTCAACATTTTTACCAACCCTATATTCATGACAGTCTATGAGAACTTCATATTTGAGCATTCATATTCTTAACAATACAGTATATACAAATCAACTAAATGAACATTCTAATGATCCCTGATCCAACAACTATATGTGATTTGCTATTAAATATTTTACATTTATTTCAGGGGTAGTTGGTGGATGGAAAGAACACTTTACTGTGGCACAGAATGAGCTGTTTAATAAAGTCTACAAGGAAAGAATGAAGGGAATACCATTTGTCTATGATGACTTGTTAGACTCTTAAGAATATGACATTTTACAAAAAGTTTTCTGAAGTTTCTGAACAATTAAATAACTGTTATCAATCAATAGTGGTATTAATAGTTTTTCACAACTATGTAATTATGCCAATTAGCAGATTACTAAAACATGATGAAAGTAGTAGTCTAGTTTACTAGTAGGTATTAGTATGTACGAGTATATGTAATTTTACAGAACATAACTAGAAAAACAGCAACTCCAAGGAGTAGCAAATTTTAATGAAGAAATTATTCATTAATCTGAAAAAATGTCATAATATGGTATTTCAGTACTTAATACTGCCATCTCCTAATTATTGAGAATTCTACTATTCCTACCCACTTCAAATATTTTCTGAAGCAAGAATAAATGATGCAATACTATAAATGTGATGCACTCTTAAATAATAGCTTAACGTAAATGTAATATACTGCACATGTCATGTCATACTTTTATTGAAGATATCTCTAATTACTACTAATCCAAACATTGGGTGGCCATTTAGGATTGTATAGGCTCAAATCAGAAAAAGATGCAATATTCTGATTCCACTCTAAAATGTTTTTCATTTAAGTACTATAATACTTCAGAAAGATCTCAAAACAAAAGTTTGTTCAACTCCCTTCCCCCATACCTCTACCTGACCCCTGGGGGTCAGCCAAATAACATGTACTATATGTGAATTAGCATTACCTGGTAGTTTAATACCTATAAGATTTAAAACCTTGTAAATTAAAAAAAAAGAATATTCTGAGAAAAAATTCAGGCAATTCACCACCCATATACCACCTCTGGTGTTCAGGTTGAAAACCAAAGAATATATGTGAAAATGATCAATTTTATAGATATACTACCAAAACTACAAACAGTAGTACTCTTTACTTGGTTGAAATGAAAAACCAAGATTTTCACAAAAACATGCCATTTTCAAAGTGGAAGCCATCTTGAGAAAACTATTTACCAATATACACCTTTCCACCAAATATGAATGACTAATTGGGAGACGGACGGATGTACTGATGCCGATCATAAGGCCCTACACTATGTGGTGGGGACATTATAAAGTACTACATACAGAAACTTACATCTAACATCAGCCTCGAGTGGATCCCTTGTATTTGAGCCAATGATACAGTGGGGCCATCTATAGTCACCACTGCAAACTCTTGATCCTGAGGCATAGTAGAGTCGAACTCAAAAGGATGCAGCTTACTAGGGACATCTTTAGGTAGGTGTTTGAAGTGATTAGACAGGCGTAACTGGGCTAGGTCAGCAGCTATGGCGAGTTGGATGGTGGGAACTTGAGCAGGTAGGAAACATGAGTCGAGTTGTATACTTCCAAGTAAAATTCTGGGATTTACTTCAGGTACTTGCCTGTAATAATAACACACAAGTAAGAATATGAGACCTTTGGCCCCTAACCCATTAACACTTGGTGGAAAAGGAATACATGTACTGATAAAACAAAATCTAAGCTATACAAACAAAAGCTATTTCAAAAAATCTTTAGAATAGCAGTTCACATTTAAGCGTGCATACCCATATTCTTCCGTCTGTAGCTCTGGCCATATCTGTATTCTCCATACACTAGCTGGTACAAGGTCAGCATTGAATGCCTTGGTGACTGGGGGTAGGTCAACAGTATGTACAGTATTCTCTGATAGATGTAAATCCCTAAAATCTAGGAATTCGTGTGATATAGGATCCATGTATTGTAGCATGCATGGTACCTGAAACAGTAGATATATCATAATATAAACACAGTGGTTATAATTGTATACTGTATAGGAAAAGACCATTTAGGATAGGATTATATCCTTTCGCTACATACACCATTCAAAGGACAATCCCCCTCCTATTAAGGAGGTAAGGAAATTGACATGCGGTATTGTCTCAGAGGATGGGATTTGACATAGCGCTCCATCCTGGAAGTATGGACTTTGTAGTGCATTATCCAGATAATAGCAATTTTTACTACTGTATATATAATTGACCAATTAATATTGCTCCCAGCATGGGAGAAATTGACTTGCAGGGTAGCTCTTAGGGTAGATAATTTGAAAGCCAATTTTCATTTGTCAGAATCCCCAACACTTCCCGCTTGGGGGTCTGAAACCTTTGAATGGTGCAAAAGAGTGAACTAAAAATTGAAGCTAAAAATTTGATTATAACTCACAGTTGCAGTCTCATCCATGATGAACTGTCCAGCATTTGGAGGAAGTGTAAATGGCACAGGGTGGACCTCCAGACGAGTTATAACTCTTGGCTCATTGTAGCACCATGTAAGACTTCCGTGTATGCTGTACTCATAGGAGAGAATCTCAGCAGGTTGGGGAAGCATCTCATGACTCTTCTGATCTATCTCATCTTCAACAACAATCAACTCAAACCTCTCGCTGCGAAGGTCATCTTCACTGGTAGTGTTTGCTTGAGGAGATTCAGCCTGCTGTTTTGCTTTCTTTTTTGTACGTGGACTAGATTTTGACTCAGTTTTCTTGTTTTCAGAGGCCTTCTAAAAAGAATGCATATCATATTTATCAATAAACAAGGGATCATTTCTATAATAGAAACACGAATTAATCATTCATACGTATTATGCATCTTTGTTTTAAAATATAGAATCTATTTTGAATGTATTTGAGATTAGCCAACACAGAATCAGAACTCAGTACCAAAAAGGCTATAGACAGGTTGTTCAGATATGTGTTTTGGTTGGCAGAAATTAACAAGGCATTTACATACAAAATGTCACCACCTGTCATTTGCTACAGGTGTCGACCCCAAACACCATCCACAAAAGATTGAAGACTATAACAATATGTCACCACTTCTGTTGGTAACATGAAAATGTTTAACTTCTTCTTTGCCAACCCTGCCTGTAGTCTATCTTCATTTATTATTCATCTTCATTTACATGTATAAATCTAATCAAGTAATGTTTAAGTTTCTACCAGCAAGCCCGGATAATCCCAAACTCACCTTGAAAGCATTCTGAATTTCTTTCAACAGTACATCAGTACACAAGACATGCTCCTGTCCAAAGTACATTTGAACAGCACCTAGATCTAAAATGAGTACAATCTTTGGCAGATTTTCTGAACCGCTATGTTGGCACCAGGTGGCATTGACATCAATATTGGCCATCAATGGACCAATCAGAGGCCGTGATTTATCACAATATCTCGTACTGACCAGTAGGTTATGTAGAGAAATGTTGGTCTGGATAGCGGGTGAAACGGCATCATCTGAAAAATAAAAACATAACTTCTCAATAAATGAAATAGCACTTTACATTCTGACGCTAGAAACATGTATTTCAATTACAAGTGCATGTATTGTAGAGATATCTTACATAACACAGAACCTCTTCATGTAAATAAGTGTATGTATAAGATTCAAATTATAGGACTTCACCATCAATTAAATTGTTTTTATTAATTTGGATCGTTATATAAAATACAATACATGAAACTTTAACAGTTAAGAATCAATTCATATAGGTGACAGGTCATCTCAACCCCAAGTCAACTCAACCCAGTCCAACTCAATCCCAAGTCAAGTCAACCCCAGTAAAACTCAGCCCCAAGTCAACTCAACCCTGTAAAACTCAACCCTAGTAAAACTCAACCCTATTCATTTGTGTGATGTCTAATTCAATTTTACAATGAGTATATAAGTCATTCATTTCTGAAAATCTAGCATTTTGCATGATTCTTTGAATAGAAAGCTGTAAAAGTATTCAAAAAACAGTAAAGCTCAAGGATAATTCATCAAGTTGTCACTATTATTTAATTTAAGACATCTTTTGAAATCAAATATTGGATAATTCAAAAATAATTAACAATGTAATATAACCTTTTATTTATTATTTATATTTACATGCATTATTGAAATCATTAACATTTACTAATTTAAATAATACACTGAAAAGCAATGGTCATGTTCCAGTATTCCAAATGATCACATGAGTGTCAACCTCAGAGGGATAACAACAAAACAAATGTATTAGCAAGATTTATAAAATGACCCACATTTAATTCCTATTAGTACCATGTTGACATTTTGGAGATAAACTCATTATTAACTATAAAAGGCAGGTCTAAGAATGAAAATCACAAACTGACTCAGAATTCACCTTTCCATAAAGTCAGCTCATGAATATTATAATGAGCTGCTTAAAAATCTGTGACGTCAATGAGAGAAACTTTTTCCCGCGAAAAACAAATGCAATCAAGTTTACATGTAGATCCTCAGTTGATTGCTGTAAGTTTTACCTGTTCAAATGTGCAAAGTAATCAGTAAATTATTGAAGGATTTTTATTGAATGTCAAATTGACATTTATTTACGCGTTCTAAGCGATTTAAATATTAAATTCCTGTTCTTAATGAGTAAATAATTTGAAGAGAATTACTCCCGGTCAGTTTTCAATCATGATAGGAACTGGATGCGAACAGGTGAAATTACCATAATCATTAGTTCACCAACATTTAAACATGTCTCTCATGCATAAAAATAAATCTATTTTAAGTTAATCTAGTTATCATAGGATTTAGTTATTTATTCATTTATTTATTTATTTATTTAGCCTTCAATACTGAAGAATAGTTTGACAATTAAAACAATCTTACACTATACCTTATGCTAATTAAACAATTACAATATCATGAATTATACATGTATACATAAGCAAATTTAGACCCAAAATAACAATGGATACATTGATAAATCAGCCAAAACATCTTTGGTACATAATTGAGACATTCTTACATGAAATAATCAAAACATTATCCCAATTTTCCATTGGGAAGTAAATGCCTAAAATAATGTTATATAAACATAAATGTAGGATTTTCAATCATCACCTTTCTGATATCAACATAATTATAACAACCCATAATAATAAAATGGTAAAGATTCTCTAATGAGTTATTATTACATTTCTTACACTCCCTATTTTCTCTAGGTAAAGCATAGTTGTTAATTTCTAAATTATGTATACCACATAGTAACTTAATCATAATATTACATTTTCACTTTAGTTTGGGATGTTTGAGTCCCAAGTAATACCAGTCGCATGAGACATGTGAGCCCAGGTATGTGAGGCTTATGTAAGAAGTCTTAATAAACAATAGTTCTGTCAAAAAATGATTAAATTAAATTACATAAGGTTCAGAATGAAAGTGCCCCGTCCATATTTCATATTTGATTAAAAACAATTAGTGCATTAGGCAAATAGAATCCTTTTTATTGCAGTTAATTCAAAATATGCCAATGCTGGCTGTACTCAAATCTTCAAAACTTTCAGGCATTGATGTCATTTATTTGACTCATTTGCATACAACCAATCAGCGCACCAGAAATTATCGATTTTCTTTACTTTGTGGAAAGGTGAATTATCAGAACTTTTTAATGAAATAAACTTTCATATCATGGGGAACATAGGTTTATCCATGAATAAATAAAATAGTACTGTGGGTACTGGGCTCACATGGTGTTGCTCAAAAGTGAATGATGGCTAAAATGACAGAAAATAAGAAAACAATATAATTTTTTGCTGATTTTTTGTAACAAAATTTCAAGCCACTTGCCACTATTTGGACTGACTGAGAGACAGATGGACAAATCCATGTTAAGTAAAATGGCTGAAAAAAACGGATATAATTTTTTGCAAATTGTTTGTAACAAAATTATATCATACAACTACTCTTTACAGTGACATGGCTTTTTGCAATGCAGGACACCAGAAATTATTTGTAAAGCTAGGAAATGGGCCAAAATTGAATTTCGCGAGACAAAAATGGCAACCATTATGAAAGTAGGTAAGCTTTTGAACCAGGAGTCATAGAGGAATTTTTTGTATTGATGTTGAATGAAAATACTTGAAACTGGAATCCTATCGACAGAGGTTTTAAGGCAAATGGTATAAAAAGAGGATTTTGCGAGACAGATGGACAAATCAATGTTAACTAAAATGGCTGAAAATAAAAAAACGGATATAATATTTTGCCGATTTTATTTCATACAACTACTCTTTACAGTGACATGGCTTTTTACAATGCAGGACAGCTGAAATTACTTGTAAAGCTAGGAAATGGGCCAAAAGTGAATTTCGCAAGACAAAAATGGCGACCATTTTGAAAAAGGCGAGCTTTTGAACCAAGAGTCATAGGAGAGTTTTTTTTTGTATTGATGTTGAACAAAATTAACTTAAAACGGGAATCCTATTGACAGAGGGTTCAAGGCAAATGATCCAAAATTGGATTTTGTGAGACAGATGGACAAATCAATAATTTTTTGCTGATTTTGGGAACAAAATTATTTCATACATCTACTCTTTACATTGACATGGATTTTTCGATAGGACACTTGAAATTATTTGTAAAGCTAGGAAATGGGTCAAAAGTAAATTTCGCGAGACAAAAATGGTGGCCATTTTGAAAATAGACAAGCTTTTGAACCAGGAGTCATAGGGGAGTTTTCTGTATTGATGTTGAGCAGAAATAACTTAAAACAGGAATTATATCAACAGAGGTTTTAAAACGTGCCACTGTTGCTGACGGAAAAGTGGATTTCGCGAGTCAGATGGACAAATCAATGTTAACTAAAATGGCTGAAAATAAAAAAATGGATATAATTTTTCGCTGATTTTTTGTTACAAAATTATTTCATATCTACTCTTTACATTGACATGGATTTTTACGTTGTAGGACACCTGAAATTATCTGTAAAGCTAGGAAATGGGTCAAAAGTAAATTTCGTGAGACAAAAATGGCGGCCATTTTGAAATTAGGCGAGCTTTTAAGCCAGGAGTCATAGGGGAGTTTTCTGTACTGGTGTTGAACAGAAATAACTTAAAACGGGAATCCCATCGACAGAGGTTTTAAAACGTGCCACTATTGTTGACGGACGGATGCACGGACAGACCCACGCACGTACGGACAGACAGATGGACAAGTGAGTGATTGCAAAAGCTCACCATGTGAGCTAAAAACAATGTACAAGAGTCAAAATTTCAATGGCTTTATACAGTAATGGTGACATAGTAAGTTCTCAAAAACTGTATAGTAGATAAAGAATAAAATAAAAATGTTAATGATGTAAAATAATTTTAAAATGTTATAATCTGAAACATGTTACTATTAGACACTTAGTGACAATGTTAGGTAAGTATGCTTTACTAATGAAAACTAAAAATCAAATTTCTAGAATTTTTGATCACATTTGACCAATTTTCGAATCAGCCTCAATGGAAAGATGACCATGAGTGGAAATTGAGTGATTGACATATACATGTATCTTTATTAGTTGTATTAGTTTTATGGATCTGTTGATTGATTTATGTTCCTAGAACTGTCCACAGGGAGACAACACTGCTCTGTTTCCATCATTAAACAATTATTTCAATTCCTTTGAGAATTTTTTCTTGATAGCCGGAAACAATATTTTAGTTTATGGACATTGGTAAAAGGTATGAGTATAACATAAGATTTTGGACAGTTTCCGTAAGTTTTTTGAAACTTTCCAATAAGCAAAAAAAATATTTTGCAATGCATACTTTTACTTCTGTTATAAAAGAACTTACAAAATTCATGAATAACTACATATTATTTTTATGAATAAGTATGATTTATTTTTATTTTGGTAGGCAGTCAAAATTGAGCCGAAAGTTCAAGATACAGTCACAACATATGGATGAATTCAGTACAATTGGAAAACATGTGGTGCCTAATTTTGAAATCAACTTGTTACTGTTAACAACTAGATAACGGCAACTCCGCGGAGTAGCAAATTCCAACGAACAAAATATCAATTACCGAATTCCAATCAATTATACTCTGGTTAAAATTGAAAAATTCAGATTTTAGAATTGGGAATTCCTGCAAAGCAGCCGTTTTGAATTTTCTGAGGTACAAATCTGAAAAATAATACCATAATTGTGATCTACTCCAAAATTCCTTCAATTTGAGTATATAATATAGCCATACTTTGAAAGGATCGAAAAATTATTGCGAATTTTACAAGGCTTGAATCAGAAAAAGATAGAATATTTGCAATCTACTCTTAATTGCCTTTCATTTGAGTATAATAAAGCTATACTTCAGGAGGATCAAAAAATTAGCGAAAATTTTTGTTTTCCTGGTTATGCACGGCCCCTGGGGGTCAGGATGAAAAACACGGAATATATTTGAAATAGACAGATGTTGTGAATATACTACCAAAACTACAAACAATAATATTAACTACTTTGGTAATGAAAAATTTATGATTTTTGGGAAAAAGTCCCATCATTTTTAAAGTGGCAGCCATCTTGAAAAAATATTTTTTGCGTAAAACTATTCATCAATATACATCTTTCCACCAAATATGAAGAAAATCTGTTGACTAATATTTGAGTTATCTTCCGGACGGACGGACGGACTGACTGACTGACTGACGGACGGAGGGCTTCACTATATCCCTACCGAACTTCGTTTGTTGGGTAATAATGACAAACTTTCACATATGTTTCAGATTGTCACCGAAAAAAGACTTTGCAAAGAGGAGAATTTGTCTACATTGATTTGTCTTCATAATGCTGCTCACATACTAACTGAGATTTAACATTTAGAAAGGCAGAGTGTGATAATTTGGCCCACCTTAATATCACAAAGAAAGACATTGTTACACAGAAAACAACAACAATATGCTTCTCCTCAAAAACCTCAAACGTAAATACATTTCAGAGTTAATCACAATACTGATTATACTACATGTAATTACTTCCTTTATAATTATGTGCTTTTGTTTCCATGGTGTCAAAGAACTGCACCTTTGGGAGGAAAGTTCAAAAGAAATTGATGAACTGGAATCTGTTATTGATGGGGATGTAAAACTGTCAATGGGAAAGTTGACACAAGAGGCATATAGATATCATGAAAATGGTGATCTTAACAATCAAGCAAAGGTCAGGGATGAGAAAGTCAAGGTCGGGGATGGTGATATTCTTCAAACCCAAGCTGCGATAATTGAGAATGATGTTGAAACATACATGAAAATGAGACAAAAAAGGATTGAAAATACTTGTCAAAGACTGGAGAAACTGAGAAAAAAGAAAGCCCAGATTAGAAAGGAAATATCAAATGGTAACATTTATGTTGATTTGAAGAAAAAGATTCTATATTGCTATACACCTAAAGTCGCCAGCACCACATGGAGAGAGATTCTAACTGCTAGCAAATATGATTTAAATGAGACTAATATACAGTTGAGTCAAAGAGGACCAAATTGGAGCAAATGGTACGAAGGGAGGATCCTTACACATCTGAATTTTCTCGATAGCAAGAGGCAGAAAAAAATTCAAGGGGAATTTTTCAAATTCATGTTTGTGCGCGATCCAATAGAAAGACTTCCATCTGCCTGGAAATCAAAGTTCATAGATGTCAAGGGAGGTTATTACAGAAAACACTTTGGATCAAATATGGTTAAAAGATATCGTCATAACCCTACATATGCTGAGATTGTACAAGGAATACCTACTTTTGAAGAGTTTGTAAAATATGTAACTGACCGAAGAAATCGTCCACAAGATCCACATTGGCTATCTTTTAATGAATTATGCACCCCATGTACCATCCACTATGATGCCATTGGAGATTTTAGGACTCTTAACACAGATGCCAACTTTACCTTAGCACATGCAAATCTTGATAAATACATTTTCCCTTTCAGTCAGCCTAAAACAACAGCAAGACTTCAAAGTTACTATAGCAACCTTACCTCTCAAACAATTAATGGAATATATGCAAGATATGCCACAGACTATGAAATGTTTGGATTTGAAAAATGGTTTAAACTTGATTAAAATGAAATCAGGAGAACTATGACTTTACACCTGCATGGAGCATTCCTTTCACTTGACAAGCATCTGTTATCATATATCACTATATATTACAATTTATTCCACGATAATATGTTTTCCCTGGGAAATAAACAAGGAATAGAATTGATATTCAAAAAATCCATATCAGATCCTGTATCAAACAAAATCCTTTATCAATCAATATGATATTTGCCTTGGTCAATATCATATTTTTCCTTGGGATGAAATTCCAATTCCATCCCTCCCATGTTAACAACTGTTTAATACATAAAGCACTGACATTTGACTTCTTTGATTAAAGGGAGATTATCCCCAGGAATGGAGTATTTGTGTGTAAAAAAAGTAGGCCAATCCATTAATAAAGCATTCAAAAAATGAACTTGCCTGAGTGTAAAAAAGCATTCTGGGTTCATCACATTTCTTCAGGTATTATATAATACTGTATATGTACATGTAAATAACATGTTTTGCACAAACTGTATTATATAATGATAGTGTAGTGTAGTGTAATTTATTTTTGTGCATGCAGTGAGTACTAACTACGATAATATGTCATGTCATGACATCTAGAGTCAATGAAAGATATATATAAAGACAATAAAATGAATTGAAATGAATTTAAATATATAATACATGTATCATTATTTATCACTTTTTATATATTTACCAGATGTTGTTTATCTGAAACAACTGAATATTTTTCACTCTTGACAGATGGAATAATGAAATAACAAATGAAATAATTTTTTGCGGATATTTTGTAACAAAATTATTTCATACAAATACTCTTCACATTGACATGGCTTTTACAATACAGGACACCTGAATTTATTTGTAAAGCTAGGAAATGGGTCAAAAGTGAATTTCGCGGGACAAAAATGGCGGCCATCTTGAACATAGGTGAGCTTTTGAACCAGGAGTCATAGGGGAGTTTTCTGTATTGATGTTGAACAAAGATTACTTAAAACGGGAATCCTATCGACAGAGGTTTTAAAACGTGCCACTTTTGTTGATAGACGGATGCACGGACGGACGCACGCATGCACGGACAGACAGATGGACAAGTGAGTAATTGCAAAAGCTCACCATGTGAGCTAACAATAAAAATATAGGGGTTGAGTTTTACTGGGGTTGACTTGACTTGGGGTTAACTTGACCTGGGGTTGAGTTTTACTGGGTTGTTGGTCCAAAAGTGGATTTCGCAAGACAGATGAACAAATCAATGTTAACTAAAATGGCTGAAAATAAAAAAAAACGGATATAATTTTTTGCTGATTTTTTGAAACAAAATTATTTCATACAACTACTCTTCACATAGCCATGGATTTTAACAATGCAGGACACCTGACATTATTTGTAAAGCTAGGAAATGGGTCAAAAATGAATTTCACGAGACGAAAATGGCGGCAATCTTGAAAATAGGCGTGCTTTTGAACCAGGAGTCATAGAGGATTTTTCTGTATCGATGTTGAACAAAAATAACTTAAAACGGGAATCCTATCGACAGAGGTTTTAAAACGTGCCACTATCGTTTTACTGGGTTGAGTTGACTTGGGGTTGAGATGACCAGGAAGCTTCATATATATCCTTGAGAGAGACTTGTATTTATTTTTTGGGGTTGGTTTTTTCATGCTGTCCTGTATATCTTATGTACAGTATATAAATGTACCTGTTAGGTTGAAAGATCCACATAGTTCAGAAAGGCCACATTGTACGCCTGCAGCATTCCCTAGTGCTGATATTGTGTCATATGCAGCAACTAGTTGAACAGTATTCACTTTTACACTACTAATTAGTTCAAATAACTGCATGTACATAGGTCTACCTGAAAACAAACAATGAAATAAAATTACACATTCAAAAATGGGTTTACTAATCACGTAGAAAATGTATACATCTTTACATATTAGCGATATACTGTAATGTGAGCTTTGTGTAATTTCAATACACATTAAAGGTAGAGATGTCACAGAACAAAAAAATCGTAACGGTTCGGTTTGGGACATTTTGTTTCAGAACAGAACAATTTCGGAATGGTTCGAAACAGAGTGACTGCATGTATAAGATTAAAATAAGTTGATCGTCTAGGTCTATTCGGAAGGGAAAAGCTCTTCAAAACTCTTCAATGAGAAGGAGTGAAAAGAATGAATGCAAAATATTGAAAGAAAAATACTGTTTTGTGCCGACTTATGGGCCACAAGCTGTGAAAGGGTAAGATTTTCCTGTTCCGGAACCAAACCGAAATGCTTAATTTTTGTTCCGTGTTGCGTTCCGAGAATGTAATTCTGTGGGTCAGAACAAAATCGGGTATCCGTGACACCTCTAATTAAAAGCCATAATCAGCAATATGCAAATTTCTGTTTTGATAATTGGTATAGTCAATTATCCATATTTACAAAAATATGTGGAATTGTTTCTGGTCAAAACAATGACAAATACAGCACAAAAACGCTATAAGTGCTATAACTAATAGTAAATCCAAAGCAAATTGTTTAAACTGCTAGTAAAAATATCACATATTGAGGACATTACTAAATTACAAACTACATTTTGTACTTGATACTCACTGCTTTGATGGGCTGATGAATGAGATTCTGGTTTGGGTTGTCGTGTAGGCCTCCTAACTACAGGCTCTGGGAATATATCTGCTACAATATCTGACATATGATCCAGTCTGGCAGAACTTAGAAGTAACTTAAGTGGCCTGCCAATATCTAGTTGTATTTCAGCTGAAAGTTAAGCGAATATTATCGAACACCTCATATTCATAATTATATGGTTCATTCATTATTCATTTTTTTAATTTTTATACATGAGTTTATTATTCCATATTAGTTAACAAAAAAACAACAAATAATCGATCACAAAAGTTTAATAAAAAACATTAGCGGCAAATCATTAATTATTTTTATGACCAAAATTGATGATTTGAATTCCATTAGTTTAGTGGTTGGTAAAGAATAAGAACAATTGAATATTCAGCTTTCAAAATGATTCAATGATATACCTGCCCCATTGAAGAAGCCAGTGAGTGTGAGAGTGTATAGACTAGGTGGGACCCCTGTTTTACTGTCAACTTCCCCGGGTCTCGTCTCTATCCAATGTATTGGGAAGTCCAGTGCCTCTGGGATCAACTTACTCTCATCTTAAACATATACAGTACAGTAAAATTAATGACCTGTATGTATACATTATCACACCTGTAAACAAGATGTTACCTATTCAGACAAAGAAATTGGTCATTTCCAATTTTTTATGATTTAGTACCTTGTGCAACAGCAATATTAATTGAAGTAAAAAAATTGAGAATACATGTAATTGACATTCTCAAAAGATATTTGTTATTTGGAGGTCATTAAGAACCAGCATCTCACATAGATTACTCTTCCACTGAGTTTCATCTTAACAAATAAATATGGCATTTTTCAAAGTGTGATATGATAGCAGTAGAGGAATTGAGCTGAAATGATATACAAGTACATCTATACGAACAGACATATTTGAAAACCTGAATGGAGAACGATTGTTGAGAATTACCTGAAAACTTATGTCCTGCATCTGGGCCACGTATAGTGATATCATAACATGAGAGCTCCACCTTTTGACAGTTTGTCTGGCATGATATGACACTGTGAGGTTGTGAGAAGTAGGCATACATATATGGAACAGTTTCATGATCCAGTTGTGATTTTGTATTATCTTTAAGGACATCACCCATGGATTGTCCACCAAAATTGCGCTCCAACTCACATATTGTTGTCTCTAAGTCATCACTGATTGGACTAGAGGCCCCACTTTGCTGTACACATTTTTTATGCTTGTATACCATGAAGCTGATTTTACCAGCAGTTAGCAGCACATTAAATGGTGTGAAATTGTGTGAATGTAGCATGGATGCTAGAGTTGTTTTATTGCTGGGTTGGCTTGCCATAGTTTCCTGACTTGATCGTCTTGGCGTACTGTCACCACCTGTTGTACTCTCTTCAATCATTACCCAATCAGTAACAGTATCTTCCTGGGGATCGACAGTGTCTATGTCAGCTTTGGGTTGAACTGAGGTAACACATTGTATGTTGTTCATGAGAGTAGTGTGTAATAGATGAAGCTGGTTAGTACTGATGTAGAAATCAAGGTCACTTGTGGCATTCATTTCTAAAGAGTAACCACAAACCAATATTGGCTGAAAGAATAAAACAACAAAAATGCTCACAAATTTGGTTAGAAATGTATGGATCTCATTTTGTTTATAAAGATTATCCTATAAGAGGTTCAGGATATTGGAATTATCCTAGGGCAAATATAATATATCTGCCTGAGGGTGTAGGTCCCCCTTGGGATAATCCCAATATCCTGAACCAAGGATAGGATGATCTGTTTGTCCATACCAATCTTCCTCATCTAGTTCACATTGTCATGTTGTTCAATTGGCACGAGTTCAGAAAATTTCAATCAGAGGAATTCTCTTAGAATATTCATGTCCAGTTTTGTTTTCTTGTTTTCTTGGCTGTGGCCATATTTTCCTGTTTTTCAGATATTCATCCATATTTTGCAGAATTCAATTTTTTTCATGCAGAAAACTAGTATGTGTCAATGTGATACTGTCATGATTATGATCAAATGGTACTCACTTGCTGTTTGGGTTTATCTGGCCCAACTGGTGGTTGATACACTATAGGTGGGGCTGCAACCACTCTGAGGTCAAATGCTGCAGCTATTGGGATCAGACGACATGCTTCTCTCTCTCTGAAATAGGTTATGATAACTTGAGCACAGTAGGAATAAGTCGAGGGTCATACTTGATTATATTAATGTATAAGATGGTAACTGCTTCTTAATTTAATTTTAACAATCAGACAATTTTCTATGTTCTGGACAAATTCTAAGATTATACAGGACATTGTAATTGTAATGCCTGAGTATGTGTGATGCACTTGCAAAGGATGTGTCTGGGTATATGCCCTTTTGGTCCCTCGGTCAAATGTATCTGAAATATGGTTTTTATTACTGTCCTAGTTATATTTAATAAGTGTATTTACTTTTTCACGAATTTTGATGCATAATTAACCCCCTGCTGAGAGTCAGAATAAGTATCTTAACAAACAAAAAAATAGTCATTATCATAGAAAAAAACACCAATGGCAACATGTATGACATACAAAGAAGAAATAACTTAAGACCGATGAAGAATTAAAAAGAAAATCATATTTTTGAAATATATTTAAGGATTAAAATTTTTTTCAAATTTTTGAATTTCCCGCCAGTTTAATTTGAAGGGGGAAAAACAAAATGGTTGCCATTTGTTGTAAGAAATATCAGAAAAAAAGTTGCTTCACTTTTAGTTTTCACAATGAGCACAGTTTTCCGGTTTAGATTTTTTGACTGATTCTGACTCTTCATCACCAGGGTCATGTATAGAGATTATAAAATTGAAACCAAAATGTTGTGCTCAGCATGAATTTGACTGCAATATGGGTAACATCACCAACACAATTGAAGTCTCAAAACTGGATGCTCAGTAACTTTGAGTGACTATAATCCCTTGATTACCCAGATAAACACCAATTCACTTATCCAGAAATACCATTCAATGTCTATTTAAAGAAAGTAACCAATGTTTTGGAAGATATGTTTCAAACTTTTTGCATAAATAATTCATTTCATATTTGGCATTGATTTTTTTTCAATTCTGACAAAGTGATATGCACTGTCTTCGATGCCAATATTCTTCATCAATTGTGATACAAATTGATATTTTTGTAATCTCAGAAGAAGGATAAGATATTGAAGTTTAATAATATGTGTGATTGAGTTGGCTTTTCAGACATTACAATTTTCAATATTTTCTAAGTCGATACCCAGACTCATTCCCAGACTCATCCTTTCTGTATCATGCTCGTCCAAAGTTTGTTTAAAAAATGTTCATTAAAGGTCAGAAAATGGATTTCTTGTACTCGGGGACCCAGTACCCTCCCCCTTCTCTATCTTACCAAATAAGAGGCAAGAGGGGCACAGAGTCTTGATCTGATATTCCACACTAATACTAAATCACCTTAAACTACCTCATTAATGACTTTTGGGTTTTTATCTATGTTATAATGATACACTATACCTCTAAACTTTAAAGTTAAAACAAAATGGAAATACTTAAAATTAAGTGATTTTAATCATTTAGTATACATACTCTCTAGCTATCCTTGTATTCCACTCCAAGGCTGGGTTTTGTACTACAATCCCAGACACCTCATTGGTTGTCTTGTTGCTAAGTAGCACAAAATCACACCAACAGCCTACGATAGAAAGAGAAATGAAGCACATTATCAATTGAGTACATGGATGTCTTAAGTCTCTGATTCTCTGAATAATCCAAGATGATGTTGAAACAGGAACTTCTAATCTAAGATTTTTAACATTATTTTATTAGAAATTACAGGGAAATCTATCATAAGCAAGGTATTAACATGCAAATGCCACAACCTGTCATTTGTTACAGTTGCTGATCGCCGACTGCCAAACACAAATCGCCAACCAAAAAAAGTTGGAGACACAATAAGTGGCTCATCGGGGCACCCAATTTTCAAGTGATTTTGAAATGTGAGGCCTCAGTTTTGTATCGACAGGCATGTAGCAGGGCTGATACAATACTACTGCTTCAACTTACCAGTACAAAGACTGAGCCCTGAGATATCTAGCTGGTATTGTCTGTCTTCTACATCGGATCCATTCTGTATTGTTAACCCTGCATGGAGAGCTCTCCTGTAAACATCTTTGTTCACTATAACCCTAGGGAGAGGGTTATCAGCCTGGGGCACCACTGACACCGTGTTAAGCTGCATAACACACATGTCGTGCTCTGTTGTCACTTTGACGATTGGTCGCGTTGAACTCATTGATTTAATCCCTGAATCGACACTTTCTGATTCCATAGTTGGCTCATCTGCATTTTCTTTGCTATTAGGTTCACATTTGGGTATGAATACACGGATATTTGAGGAGTTCAAGAAAAACAATGGAATGTTGGACGATGTCAAAATGGGAAGATCAGATCTGGTTTGAGATTCCTGGTGGTGGGTGTCTTTAGGAATTGGACTGGAATTCCCCGAATTTGCCTTGATGTTGAAGATCTTTAATGCATTGATAACAGCTGGTGTGTAGAGCACAATATCACATGGCTGGGTGTTCACTACAAGTTCCATAAGATATTTCTTCTCCCCTTCAGCACTGGCTTCATCAGTTTCATCTGGGATGAGGTTCAATTTCTTCTGCTTTTTATGGACATCTCTCTGCAGCGCTCTAGTGAAGGTACATGACATAAAGCCATGTGCCTTGTCTCTTGGTTTAGAATCAGCCATGAAGATATTTGGCATTGGCTGGTGGCTGCTTGACCAAAGTTTATTAGTGACTATCTCTACATCCCTGGATAGTTTACCATCACATGACAGAATGGTGCCTTCATACTGGCCACAACACCAAGTATCTCCACTGAAATATTAGAACTCAAGGTAAAGCATGAACAGATATGAAATAAAATACAATTACAGGTATTTTCTCGTATAATAGGTTTACATTATACAAATTGAAATTTTTGAACCAACGACCATTTATTCTGCTTATGGATACTTATGCTATCATCCTCCTGGTATGACGTCCTTTAGATAAATACGGGATATGGTACAAAGCCAAAATGGTGGAAAAGTTTTAAAACAAATCCAATTTTTATCGCTTGTTTTATGCAAACTACAACTCAGAATTTTTCATGTATACTTTATTAAAAAACATCATTTGCATATGCTCTTCTGAAAGAATGAATCTGAAGATTATTTTCCAAGATTATTTTCTACTCAGACTTCCAAGAAATGTAAGATATTCATATACCTTTTGACAAAGTGTGATATGTTGATTGTGCCAAACTTTGAGTGACACTTTGTGTAAATATACTGGGCATCAAGGGAGAGTGTAACATCTTCTAAACACACAGCTATATGCATCTCTGAAACAAGAACATGAATTTGAAATCACATCACCTGCAAAAGTATCATATGTCCAGTTGCTTTCCTTCGTTTTTGCTACCTGGTGTCCAAGAGAAAAACACACAGTTTAGCCTGAGAAAGACAACCAAGATCATTATAAAATGTGGCTAAATAAATGAGTATATTGGTTGGATGAAAGAGGATCCTGACTGACTGAACATTACATAAAAAATTGTAGGAAAAATCAAGAAATTACATGCATATATAAACAAGGATAGGAACATGAATAATCTTCAGTACCTCTTTTACTATTATCAAGACTATAAATCTTCCATTTCAGCTTTGGTAGTGTCCATTGTAACCATAGCGACAGTTTGATTTTCCCAGCATCATCTACAGCACCATCTATATCTTTAGTCGGCGAACCGGCACGAGATGTTTCAGTGAGCGAGGTATCTGTGATGACAACATCAATATGCTCAACTTGGCTGGACGAGTTAGCACTTATCTGTGGATATTGAATAGATGGAGCCTCTGGCTCTGATGAAGCTGTATCAGGTTTTGATGACGCTGTCAGTTTATAGATGGCCGAGAGAGACTTTTGGAATGCGAATGCTGTGCTTGTGAACTGTGTCACTAAGTCTGCTACTGTCTCAATCTGTAAATTAAAAGAGCACTTGGCGTGTTAAAGAAAAAAGAACAAAAAACAAATAACTTAAGAAAAACATAGATATTGCAACAATTAGAATATAGTTTTAAAAATTACCTGCAATTTCCCTACACCTCCATACACACCCTCCATGTGGGAATGCACACATAATCCAAGAGCAGCAAGATTCTCTGAAGTGGGAGGAAGGTACTTTGTTGTAACAGCCACTGTTGATGTAACAGAGACAGGCTTGACAACAAAGTGACTGACAGTTTGAGAGTGAAGAGAGTAGATGCTGGCATCCTGTAGTTTAATTGTCCATGGAAGTCTATCACCTTTAGGTAAAAAAATCATTATCGTATACATAATATTGGTGGCCCAAAATATGGGACACTCACATACATGTATATTCTATTCAAGATATGTACAGTATGTGAACCATATGTGTGAAATTGTAACACATGTTTTCATCATTGTTTCCTTGACACTAGACATCTGGCACATATTGGTCAATAACAGCTATTGAAACTCAAAGAATTTGAGAATTTCCATCATTCAGGGAAAATTCTAAATTATTCACTGTATCTTCATTTTTTGATAATAACATAATTGTTAGTTCATTTACCAGCTATAGAATGCCCCAAATTCCTCATAGGGATCTCCTGTAGAGCATCGAGACCCTTATGTCCATTACTGACCACTGTAATATATGGTAGAGCCACCACAAGTGTGTTGAGCATCTCCCCAGTCTTGAACACAGCCTGCATGTCGATAGGAATAGATGGCGCCACCCCTGGCAGACGTATGTGCTGGGTGGGGGCTATGATGCAACATGGCTGGATCTCAATCTGAAATGACATCAATCTTTAGTCATATATGTATTAAAGTTGGGCAGTTTCTGAGTTATAAAAATGCAATTGATATCCAAGGCATTAACCAAAATGTCACCACCTGCCATTTCTTACAGATGCCCACTGCCGAATGCCCACCACTGAACACTATCCACAAAAGGTTGGAGACTTACAACAATATATCACCACTTGTGGTAGTGACATTACATCACTCCTTGTGTGTCACTCCATCTTTATCTGCAAGGACTCAAACCCTTATTGTTATCATATAGGGAAATGGCAATATGCAACTCAATGAGATAGGTGTAAATCAATTTTCCTTATATGTTAGATAATTGTTTAGGATTCTTTATATTTAAAAAATTTTTTTTAGTTTTATTGCTCTCTACACATCTGACATTTGTGCAAATATATTGTAATTTGGTATATGGTTTCACTGTATATTACCTGTACTTCTAGCATTCTAAGGGTGGGGAACCAGTCTGCTAGTAGTCTAGATATAGGCCTGTTTGTCACCCCTTCAGTCTTCTCTGCAGTAGGTTGACTGGTGGTCTTGGGGACAGACTTGGTGGCAGTCTGGGTGGGAGTCTGGCTGGGGGTCTTACTTGTAAGATTGCTACTGGACTTCACTGATTCTAAAATTTATATGTAAGCATATAACACAAGTTGTAGACTTGCCTAGTTTAATACGATTTTGTGATTGAATGCTAAGTTCTAAAATGACATGTTAGAACAAACATTGTATAAGTATTATGACAAGACACAATATTGTGCTTGCCAGTGAATCAATTTCAATAAAAGTCAAAGTCTTTGATGGTTTTCCCAAAAGTGTTACCATGACAATAAATTCTCTACACCAATACCAAACAATACCAAACATAGGCCACCATAGTTTTGTCTCAGCAGAATTATACTAATCCTTCGACTACTAACAAGACTAATTTTGAATTCAAATACTTGGCCGACCTCAAACGAACAAGATCTAACTTCCTACCCTGAGAAGTACCATTTTTCAATGGAGTTGCAGCTCTAGCAAGTGCTGCATCTATTGAAATGTTTGCCCTTTCTGGGGGTGGTGTAACCAATAATGTGTGGGGGATGTAGGCCAACCAAGTATATAGCAACGGGTCCAATGAGGCACATACTCCCTGTACGTTAACCAGGAACACTGCTGGCACTGAAAACAAGGAAACACATTGTACAATTTTGTCATATCAGACTTTAGCTTTAGTAAGTCCCAGGTTTGATTAATAGAAAACAAACAAATGAAACAAACAAACAAACAAACAAACAAACAGTAATATCAATAAAATGTAAAATATTACCAATATGTAATATTAATATCACAAATAATATAATCACTGTACAAAATCCTTCATTCGACCAGCAGCACTTGGACAGTATAAACGAACAAATGGCAAATACTGACACATCGGAAGATGATAACGTGAATCCCCAGCTAAACCAAGACATAACAATTGATGAAGTCGCTAAAGCAGTGTATGCAGCCAAATTACGTAAAGCTTCTGGCGTTGACGACATCTCAGCTGAAACACTCAAAAACCCACAATGTATTGGCATCCTCCATAAAATAACGTCTGTATGTTTTGCCCTTGGAAAGGTACCCTCGATATGGAATCAAGGAATTATCCACCCCATTTTTAAATCTGGGGATCGTAAAGTACCAATGAATTATCGTGGCATTTGTCTTATGTCTATCCCATGCAAAATATACTGCACTGTGCTCAATTCAAGACTCATCCAATGGCTTGAGATTAACCGAAAACTAAGTGATCACCAGAACGGATTTAGAGGCGACCGAAGCTGCATGGATCATATATACTCTTTAACGTCAATTATTAATAACCGTAAGTGTGCTAAGCAGTCGACGTACGTCGCGTACGTTGACGCAAAACGTGAATTTGATACCATAAATCGACAGTGTATGTACTACAAGTTAACTCTGGCTGGAGTAAAAGGACGTATTTTAAATGCAATCCAATCACTTTATGTTGGAGTGAAATACGCTGTACGCATAAACGGAACTCTAACGTCATGGTTTAACGTCAACTCTGGTTTGAAACAAGGCTGCAAGATTTCCACGACGCTGTTCGCCGTCTACGTAAACGACCTGGCCGATGAAATTGACGCAATGTCATGTGGCGTACCAGTAGGTGCCACGCGCGTTGGGATATTATTATACGCCGACGATATTGTGCTAATCGCTGAAAATGAAAACAACCTGCAACGTATGCTGGACACTATGAATCTTTGGTGCAGTAAATGGCGTATGACTGTTAACGGTCTTAAGACCAACGTGATTCACCATCGCCCACGTACAACATAACGCTCACGTTTCCAATTTCACTGTGGTGATATCGATTTGGACTATACATCGACTTACAAATACCTGGGAATTACACTCAACGAGCACATGGATATGGTGGCAACCGCCACAGTGCTGGCCAAGTCCGGTTCACGGGCACTTGGTGCAATAATGGCCAAGTCAAGAGCAACAGGAGGATTATCGTACGACGTATTTACTCATGTCTATGACTCACTCGTAGCACCGGTGCTGACGTATGGCTCTGGAATTTGGGGCATTAATAAAGCGACAACTGCGCCTGCGACCGTTGTACAAAACAAGGCACAACGATTCTTTCTTGGTGTGGGCCAACATGCCCCCAAACTGGCAGTACAAGGAGACATGTGCTGGACAAGCATTGATACACGACACAATATCGAATCAGCACGGATGTGGTGCCGCATTAAAAACATGTCCCCTCAGCGAACACTTAAGAAAATACATGTTTGGTCACTTAGCCTACGCGGTTCCTGGGAATCAAAAGTAAAAACTCTGCTATCAGACAATGGAGCTGAAATGCTAATAACGCAGGATAAAATTTCTAATGTGAAACAACATTTGAAACAACTAGGACATCGTTTGAGCTCTACTGAACATGAAATTTGGCATCATTCATTGTGGAACGATCGCAGAAACCAAGAACATGGCAATAAACTAAGAACATATAGACTACATAAACCGCATGCGACAACCCCTGAGCCGTACGTTCAATTACCTATGCATAAATATGAACGTAGTTACTTGGCACGAATTCGATCAGGAACCCTCCCTATAAGAATTGAAACCGGGCGATTCACAGGTGTCGAATTACACGACAGAGTATGCTTATGCAACCAAAGTGTTGAAGACGAAATCCATATCCTAATTGATTGCCCCCTACACGATGACAATAGACAAACCCTTATAGAAGCATGTGCTCTTCAAATACCGGACTTTAACAACTTATCGAGCATGGGCAAATATTGCACAATGATGAACACTATATCAGTACAAAGACTAATAGCGAAAACAATAAATAAAATCATGATAACACGAAGATGCTATGAAGTGTAATATAATACAAGGTGCAATATTAGATTTACATTTTTAGACATTTTATACTCATAGAACTATTCGATCTTTAAGTCTCTCATAAGCCGGAGCCGGCTGAGCTGTTGTTTTAATCAATTGTATCAACATGTATTTTAAATTGTACAGCGTGAGACTCTAATAAATACCTTACTTACTTACTTACTTACTGTATCTTAATAATTATCTTGTCCAAAAAATAATGTTGATTTATATGACTTCAATGACAGATATTTTGCGCAGCAAATCAGTATCATGGCATTATTACCTTCAAGTGTGTTCTCTCTTGTAATTTGTGCAGTAAAGTTCAAAAGTTCATTTTGCCGTTGGGTTACATCTGGCCTCACTTCTGTCGATATTGAATAGTCCTTGGAGCTCACACCAGTTGTCTTCACTGGTCCCATGAATATTGGAGTAACTGTTTCCGATTTGGATTCTGGAAAATGAATACAACCTATAATATTTATAGTAGTTTCTCAACTTGAAATATCTTTCTCTTGTTAATGAGTTCCTATTTTGATGGGGAAAGTTTACAAGGAGTTCTGTTTGATTTAATTTGATTAGCCTCATTTACTACTCTTAGACTATCTGTCAGATTCAGAGATCAACATTAATCTAACAGTAATTGGTGAACTCTCAAGTCAACTCTGTCCCTGGTCAACTCAGCCCCGGGTCAACTCAAACTCTAGTCAATTTCATCCCTAGTCAGCTCTCACCCTCATCAATTTGGACTCTAGCAGTGTTGTCATTAAGGAGCAAAAACAGCCCGCTCTTTAATGTTAACACTGGACTCTAGAGGGCATTTTGAGACACTGTACTGACACACAATTGTAATACACAACAAAATCATATATTGATCTAGATTTCATTAAATGCTACTCACCAAGTGACCTGAGTGCCACATAAATGGAGGCCACTGTGCCATTGTAAGATCTGACCACCTTTGTCTTGGCTTGTTTAATATCTATGCCCAGAATCTGAGCCTCCAGAATAGGCTGACCATTAGGGAAATTCTTAGCTGCAAAAGATAATGGCTGAACATGTAATGACTTGTCATATACTATAAATGTAAAATACGAGTACTAGAAGTATATGCAATTTTTATTTTGCTTCGATACAAATAAATGAAATGACCAAGTGCTAACGATATTTAAAAAAAGTATTTCATACCTGAAGGCTGGAAGACATCTTCTAGAAGGGATGACTGGAGAAGTTTTTGTGGGTATGGGTTGGGTAGAGACCATGTATGAATGATGTAATGTGCCAACATGGCCTGGGCTCGAGTCATGTTCACCTGCAGCTTCAAGACCTCATACATCACTTCTGATTTGGTTTGGTGGGGATTTTTCCTGGATGAGATTAGATTAGACATTTAATCAAAAATTTGTTTTTGACATTTATTTCTGAAAGATTTGAGGACTTGTGAGGAGTACGAAAGGAGTATGAGGAATTGTGAAATAAATCTAAAAGGTCAAGTTGCAATAACAGATCAGATTGCAAATGAAGTCATATTTCAAAACTAGGTCAATAAAATAGAAGACCACAAAGTTGGATTGTTCAAGTAATGACACAAGGTCTTCCTTTTTTACAGTTTTTAAGCAATTTTGTACATCTTATGTATGTAACGATGTAATTATAATGAATGCCCACATTTCATGTAAATTGATCAAATAATGATAAATATTCTTCTCACCAGTACATTGGAAGAACCAATGTTTTCCAATAGATAGCAAAGCTGCATGGCTGCAGCAGGTTTAGAGCTGGAGACATCTGACCACCAGTATCCATACAGGCCAGTCCTACTTGTAGCCCAAATACCTGCAATGAAGTGTCACAATATTAAACACTCACCAATATGACCCTCATTATTGATTCTTTAATTCCAAAAACCAAATCCTATTATAAGTCAACTTTTGCCAAAATGGGTTTACTTTTCAAAAATTTCCAGGGGGAGTTTGCATTTGCCAACGTCAAAATCATTTGAAAATTGCTCCGAATGATGAAAAACTGAAAAATCACATTGCTTTTGAAAGAATTTTGGGATGGGTTCAGCCTTAAGGCCTGGGTCAGTCTGTATGAGTATCCTCTGACTGTAACTTTAATCCCATAACATTTACCTTCAGATATATGTGCTTGTGACAATGATGCAGCAGGTTTCCAGATGGTGTGCTGATCTTACTGACCATGCGTACCAATTTACGTGCATACATAGCCGAGGTGGTCTGGAGGTCTAGCCTCTCTGCTTGAAGCACTAGGGCAGGTAGGACATGTAAGGCAGGCTTGGCTGGTTCCTCGATACGAACCTTTTTACCCTGTAATAATATGGAATAAGAAATAATTCAAACAGTTACAGTTTAAGTCAACATAGTACAGATCCTCAAAATAAATAGTGTGTACTGCAAGAAACAGTATGTTTATGGCACATTTGTATAAGACACTGTTACTGAAACCATTAAGTGTTTGTATGGCAGTAACTGAACTGGTCAGCTACTTCTTCTACGTTCAAAACTTCACACCTAAATGAGATCAATTATTTTATTGTTTATGTCGCTGTAAAATAATTGTTTTTTCATATTTTAAACATCAGAGGATTATTCCACAATGTGATGCTCAACGTTCGGAGATTCAATATACAATTGAGTTCTTTGAAAAATATGTCAAAATCTTAAATATAACACTGTACCTGGTACATTGTGAGGTTTGAATTAATTACCTTTCTTGACTTTCTAGGTGTGGTGGTTCTAGCAACATTCACATTACACTGTTTATGGTCAGCTGCCACATAGCTGATGGTAGAGTTGAGAAAAGTTACATGTAACGTCCTCGTAGGAATAAACTCTTCCAGTGATTTCACTTCCTCTATAGAAGGTGGTTGCCGAGATTCATCAACAATTTCTGGAAATGTGCAATTATTTGAGATTTATATACACAAACAGATAAATTAACGTCAGTGTTTTTAATGATGGGGATGTCATTGATTTTTGACACTAAATAATTGAGATACATGTTAAATTGACAACGTTCAAATTATAATTTCTCAAATCTCAGTCCATCGAATCCTCGCATCCATTCGAATCAATTTAATGGTAATTTGGCAAAAATTATAGTAGGAATTTAGTACCAAATGTTTCCCTTCCATCCCTATAATCATCAACAACAAAAATGTAATGCCAATTTAATGCCTCTATTGTATTATCAACCTCACTTTTATTGAAAGCACACAAATGAGGTAATTTATGAAAGCAGTAAATGGGTGGTGTACCTTCCTTGACTTTGCTGTATGGTTCATACTCATGATTGTTGGCGAAATAAAGGAAAGTTTTCAAGCGATGCATCATGCTGCTTGTAACTTTCAAGTGGGCGGGGCCTATTAAGAACTTGTTCTGTGATGCCTCTTTGACATTTGGGTCATCCACGCTAGTAGTCGATGATCTGCTACTCACTGAAAAGTACAAATGTGAATGGAGAAAGAAGTATTAGACCACAATATTAGACTGTTATACTGTATGTATATTTTAACTCATCGTTACTTTGAGCATTCTGCTGTCTATATAATAATGATGAATATAGTGTCATTTCTCGTACAAGAACGCCATCTTTTTCAATTAACAAACTAGAAAATGCAAAATGAATTCTTACTTGATCTGTCTTCCACTTGTTCCATGGTATACAGGTAATCTAACCAAAAGGCACCAAATCTTTGTAGCGCAAAGTGTTCAGTGTACTTCTCTAAATGTTTCTCGGTATCAAAGATATAGTCATGTTTTGTCATCTGGTTTTCTGCCCCATTTGGATCAAAGAGTGAGTTTGAAAGATAATTCACTGGTTTTGTTTCTTCAAACTTCACTCCTCCATTGAAGAAGTATGGATCCTTGAAAGAGAAACAAAATCATTTTAAATAATACTAATCTAGTAAAGTTCATGTGCAAAACAATAACATAATAAAATGTGTGCAACCATCTTTCTTTGTCAAATCTTCTATGTCCTAAGGTATCAGCCTTCGGAACCAAATCCGACAGCTGGTATTTGAGTCATCAGATGATGTTTTTACAAAACAATGGCAGCCATTTTGAAATGAACACCCATAATTGTTAATTCTTTTTCAAGCAAAAATAGCAAACTGGAACTAAATCCATCAACCGATATTTAGTTAAACATCAGGACAGACATATGGATGGACGAATGGACAGACGGATGGCTTCCCTATTGCATACTTACAGGGACATTTTCTCCATCCTGCACGCCACAAACACATTCTCCTTGACTGAAAATCCTCAAACCAGTGATGCCAAAATGTGCATTGAAGAACTCTAGCCCCTTTAGCAGTATCTCTACTGTTATGGCTTCCCCCTCCATACAAGCAAATGGACGAAATATTGTCTTTTGTGGACCAAAGTATGTTGTCTCTTGGACTATCTCAGATAGCTGAAAAATATAACAATTTATTATTAGAAAATGCATGACATTATTTGAAGTAATTTCTATACACAAATGACATTATTGAACACCTGCTCACCTTGAAAACCACTTCAGCTTTGGTGATATAGCCACCTATTTCCAGAATCAAAGGTTGAGGTTTCTTTCTCACAGATTGGTCATCTTGTTCTTCCTCTCCCGGGGGTAGGATAGCAGGCACATAAGACCATGCCCAAGATCCCCATCCCTCACCCTCTTCACCTTCGGGAGTGTCAGCTTCTGAAAGACAAAATAACAAATTGAAGGTCTTATTTAGAAAGACGGATTTTTTTCTAATTCTTTAACCATTCCTTATTTACACGTACATACCTACAGGTTGTCCAGTATCTACATCAGTTTCTGTTGTCATGGTTGTATCAGCCTCAGTTTGAGAATCCAATCCAGGAAGTTCTAATGTCCCATAATACAATGCAATAACAAGTTCCAGCAGACGGCAGAACATTGGTAGTTGAGTATCAGTCATGGAAAGGTCTAGTTTTTCACAAAGTACATTGAATTTAATTGCACTTGGAATCTTTGCATTGAGAGAGTCGAACATCATATGAATTCTACACGACAAAGAGCACCTATATAATAAGGGATCCTGATACGTCTCAATTTTCCCACTAGCATTTCGTTTATCTAAACAAACCGTGAGATCATGGAAGTTGAACATTCTGCGTAAAACAAGATCTTCAGGGGTTAGGTCTATAAATGATCTGGCCCAATCAGAGTTCACTGCATAACATTCCGCAGATTTCACATTCAGAGATAACACGATATCATCCTCTACAAACTTCAGAATAAGATTGTTGATGACAATATTGACATTGTTGACGATACGATTTGTAATACTCTGAATGTACCCAGGAGGGAGATTCTCATCTGATCTACTGCGTGATTTCTTCAAAGATTGCGTAGAAGAACTTTTCGGTATAGTCTTTGATGATTTGCTACTGGAACTGTCCCTATCATTGTAAGCTGAGTCTCGCAGCTTCAATATACACTCAATGGTATTGATTGTTATCACAACTGGCTCTGAACCAAGCTTTGTCCATGGCACATGGATTCTTAGCTCATGGATATGACCACTCTTGATGGTTATTGGTAGATTGATGGCATGCTCAATGGCGTCTAGACGGAGATCTAATTGGTTAAGCACTGCATCTCCTCCCCACAGAGATAACTGGAAGTCTTCATGTCGCAGTTTGACATACCTAAAAAGGAGTTACAAAATTATTCAAAATTTTATCTAATTTTTGCAATAGAGCATACATATTTTTATAAACCTGACAAATAAAATAACTTCACTATGTTCATCTAAAAACTCTTGTCCAGGAGGTTTAAACTGAATGATACACAGAAAACATCCACATCTCTGACATTTATAAACACAGTACAGTATGTCTATGTACCTTGTACCACATAAAAACTGTGATCAATGTAAAGACTTCAATTATTGGAATGAGGGTGGAACAATTTCAGCTCACATACAGTAAAATCTGTCTAGTAAGTGGAACACCTCTGGTACCTCTAAAAATGTTCCACTTGGGAGGAGTTCCACTTATAGAGGTTCATTTTAAACATTTGGTCTCGGGACTCTGAAAAGTGTTCCACTTGGGAGGAGTTCCAGTTATAGAGGTTCATTTAACATTTGATCTCGGGACTCTGAAAATTTCAGTGTTCCACTTTTACAGGTTTCAAGTTTGCAAGGGTGTGACCAGGAACATGCATGCTCTAAATCCAAATGTCCTTACCTATCCACATAGCCCATCAACAGGGGAGTAATGTATGACTCTATCTTAAACATTATGTTTAACTTTAAGGATGTTCCACCATACTGAAATACAACCACATAGCGTCACAGCAACAGAATATTCTGATATTGTCCAACTTATAGCTACACACTATCTGGAATGAAAAACAAGATTTAATTCATTTATACACTGTAGCCTACTCTGATCTGTGTAAAAGTCTACTCTGTCAAGTAACCATAGTCTACAAGCGTGGATGTTTTTTTTCTCTGACCTGAAATTTGGCCCCCCCCCCCCCTTGTTGCTTCCCAGATCCGCCCCTGAAAATTTACATCCAAAAATCAATTTGAAAAATCAACTTTTTTGACCCTTCGAAGGTCACTGAAGGTGAAGTAAAGGTCAAATCCTAAAACTAATGTCAGATTTGAACTCCTGGCAACTTGTAGATGATTTTGAAAAAAATTTGGTCAAATTGAAGCAAGTTGAAAAATAACTTATTCTTACTGTTTTTTGACGTCAAATATCTCAAAAACGGTAAAAAATTGATGCTGATAAATACTGAGCAATATGTAGGCAATGCTTAAATCTAGTAATGATGTAATTCATTGCAAGAAATGATCAAGTATAAGGCAAGAAACTTGTCAATCACAAAACCTGCCATTGTCTTTATACATGAGAAAGTTTCCTGAAAATGACTAAGTCCTACTTTTTGTCAAATTTTATAGAGTAAACACCAAAAACTGTAGCCAAGAGCTTTGAAATCTTCAGAGAACATAAGTTGCATAAACAGCAACTACTACAAGTTATTTGAAAGTTCTACTTCAACAAAGTGTCTAGTATTTACAGAAAATTTGACTTTTTGACGTCAAAATCAGCAATTTCTCGGAAACTGGGCGAACTTGGGAAATGATGATGATAGGTCAAATAGGCATTTCATTATGGATATGCATAAAATGAATGTGGATATGACTCAATCCAAATAGCAGTTTTAATTTGTGCGGCCAATGTTGACGGACGGAAAATGGAATGTTTGTTCGTTCATTTTATGAGAGATTTTCACACACGTTCGGTAATATAACGTATCATAACTTCTGGAAATAACAAGCCATTCGGAAAATTTTTGGGAATATTTTCAGTTCGTAACATTTCTTGTATAACTGTACTTATTGTTGATCGGACGGAAAGATAAGCTGATGTAGTAACATTGGAGTTCGTTTACTACCATTTGGAAGGCAGGTGAGGGTCCCATTCATCAGGTAACACTTATATGTCGAAGTTAAGTTCTTGCCTTTTTAACACTGTAACAAGGAGTAGAAGATTTACTTCAAATGTCGGTCCTCTGTCTTGCCCTACTAGGAGACGATAGAATGACGACAATTGTCGGTACCCAAGCAAATACTCACTGGGCAGTCTCCAGTACAGACAATTGTCGGTACGGGAGACAATCCATAGAATATAATAGTCTTATAACTGAATAATGAAGATCGATATCGCATCGGGTGTTGACTTTTTGCAAGCAACCAAAGATAGCCTCAAAAGCCGGAGATTGCCGAAGCTTTTCTTTGCAAACGAAGTTGGCCAAGGTACCATGAATGTGAAGAGGACTTCTCTAATTGGTCAAAAATAGAGGCTCCGCATTCTCCGTCAGATTGAATCGGCAAAATTCGGTTGTATGGCTTACCTTCGGTTGTATGGCTTACCTTCGGCTGCATGGCACAATCTCGATTGATTGGAAAAGATGCTGTCCCTTATCGCATCCTACGACCGCCACTACGTTGTCGTCTACAATCTAAAGTGGTCGTAGGATTCGATAACCCAAAGGTGAGTGTGTTGTTTGTGAAAAAAAATTCGAACATCTACAAAAAATATTCATTTGAAGACTACACCTTCTTACCCCACTGTTTTCGATATATATTTTGTCCAATACTTTTACAAGTAGGTAAGAATCAAATCAAGTGAAATTTTTACATAGATCATGCAAAAACTTACCATAAAGTTGAAGTTTTGCCACTCTGGCGCTTTTCGTGTTTTGATGATTTGCGCCACCTGTCGAGGAAAATTTTCAAAACGAGATTCATGCTTTTTTGTGATCTGAAAAGTTTCTATCAATCATTTGAAATTTTAGCCTCAATTAGCCGTTTGTCAATACTAAAAGTAAGTGCATTTTAATCACAAATTTTTAATCTACCAATAGTTATGACAATGTGTCATTGAATGCTCAACTTTTTCAGCATCGATCACTTCCACTTGCAAACTGACTTTTCGACTTCGTTTTGAACTCTGTCGGCCATCTTGACAATAAATCCCGGGCAGATACATAGATCCCGGCCAGATTCTTTTGTAGTAGGATCAGTAGCTCAGTAAATATTCCTCCTTGGGCCGTGAATTCGTACGATCCCCAATCCAATCCAGATAAATTTTATCTTTTGGGATAAATCTTGGATTACTAATCCGATAAATATTTGGTGAATTCGTACGATCCGAGGATTATGAGGGGGAATCCCCAAGATTTATCCAATTTGCATTGGAATTCGGATAAAATTTATCCAAAAAGTACACGTAATCCACCTCAAGAGGTGGATTGAGATTTATCCTGAGATTAATCCCAGGATCGTACAAATTCACCGATTTTTGGATAAATATCCTAGATGCGAGTAGAAATACTCTTGATTTACGTCATTAAAAATTCAAAATTCAGTCAAACTGATGTCATATTTGGAATCTACATGTAAAATTACATCTAGAAATATGGTTTTGAAAAGAGTTTATCAACCTTGAAAATTTAATTTTCTTTGAAAATGTGACTTCTAGGTCGGGGAGATTCCCCATAGCCCCCATGTTGGAAAATCAAAAAAAGTGAAATATCTTTTCTTGTGTTGGGCAGATAATATTTTCTTTTACTGGACATATTTTAATTTGTATAACTATCACATACATAAGGGTCGAAAAGTGAACCACTAAAACTGATAAATATTCAAGTTTACGGGAATTTTGTAATACCCTGCCATGTTATTTCCCCCGAATCAGCCACCTGGTGGCGGAACTGGTAACTACCTACTCGCATCTGAGTAATTCTTGGATTAATCCCACAATGCATCATTACCATGACAAAATTTATCCAGATTAGACGTGGATCGTACAAATTCACGGCCCCAGATGAGACACCTCAGAAAATTTCAAATTTTAAAATGACGATTGTGGAGCCATTTCTGAAAAATATGAGACAAATCATACCTCATTCGAAGTGTCTCATTATTTTTTAACTTTTTTATCACCTATGACCGATATTCAAGCAATACTGCATTGATAAGAGGCCAAAAACAGTGATATTTTATTGCCGGACTCTTGTCTGTCCAAATCCGAAGGAGTTTCGTTTCACGTCGTGTATATTCGGAAGTGTGACGTCAGCTTAACAATGATATTTGGATACACAAGAGTCTGGATCGAGTGAAAAATATTTGCCGTATTAAAAGTCAAATTACTGCGTCAATAGGTTATTTACTTGAACCAAACAAGTAGAAATAGAAAGATGAAGATCTCAGCTATAAATTAAGTGCAAAATCTGTCATTGGGGAAACAGGTACCATTTTGTATAAAGAACATTTTGAAAGGTGGTCACTTTTTTGGGAATTTTCCAATTTAAGTGACGCATCTTCTGTATTATTCTTTGAGCCTATGAGATCCTACTACAAAACGATCTGGCTAATATCTGTAGGCAGATAGTATGTCAATAACTTTTTTCGAGGTGGACTCGGTGATCCTAGTTGTCTTCTTATCATCATCTGATAAAGTAGCCATCACAATGGCAAACTAGGGCAAAGGGGTGTAGGGCCCTAACGTCGACATGTGGGGTAATGTCGACATGAGAAATGGGGCTACTTCGACACTTACTTATTAGAAGTAGAATTTCCGTTTACTGTCAAGTTTGATTTCTGGAAAAATTAAGAGTCAAGACCCTGCGAAATCTCGATTCATGCATAAAAAAAACATGGCTTTCCCTTACTATATACAAGTATTTGCACATAGCCATCTTTAGATAGATGGCTATGCATATGTTGATATTCCCAGCCCACGTTAAAGGTCTTTTACAAAAATGTAAGAAATCTTAGAAACATTTACTCTATTTCAATCTATGCAGAACATTCTAAAGTATTGTTTTCCTGACCATATCACGCGATCCGGAGTCGGGAGACAGTGTAATTGACGAAAAATGTATTTGGAACTTGTTATTTTCCATGTCGTCTGACCAGGAAGTCTTGCCAGTGCACATGCGTGTAACCGGAAGCGGAAATCTCATGGCATGGAGGCGCATGCGCATTACCCAACTTCCTGAAAAGCCATCTTGAAAATGATCAACTCTTCAACATTTTTCGTCAATATATTTCCTCTTCCACTACGGAGAGCCAGATATGGTTAGAAAAACGATACTTTAGAATGTTATGCATCAATTGAAGTAGGGTAAATGTTTCCAAGATTTCTTACATTTTTACAAAAGACCTTAATAAAGGACTGGGAATATCAGCATATGCAAAGCTATCTCTCAGGAGATAGCTTTGTGCAAACTAAGTAAGCTTCCCCCTAGATTGGAAATTAGAGCAAATAAACAACAAGGTGTTGAAGTTACCCCATTTGTCAAAGTTACCACAAAATGCTGTCTACATTATACCCCTTCACCCTACTTGACCTACTAGACCTATGTTATAAAAGACCTTGGATAAAAGGGGTTCTGCATTACATCGAAACCTATTGTACAGAAAGACATTACACAATGTGCATTGTCCTGAAAATTTTTATGTGTGACTCTTAACACATATTTCTGCTTGCCACCTTTAAGAGACATTGGAAAAACAAAGTAATTGACAGACAAATTAGCAAACATAAATTAAAGTTATTTCGACTAAAGAATGTCAATCATCAGTTTTTGAGTTTGATACATGAAATACATTGATGAGAAGTAATAGACAATTTATAAAAGCACCAAATAAAGTATAAATCACTTTGGGTTGTTGTCTCATCCCATTCTATACATTAAGGCTCGTACTGGATATCGCGAGTGGCAACTTGGGTGCAAATGTGGCCGAGTTCAGTTAGAGACTCTAATATCCCAGCCCATTTTCATTCTAAATAATCATATGATTCTATGCCTGGACAATTAAAATGGACATTGTAAAAAAGTCTAGAAATAAAGGAATATAACAATTTCTCACCTAAAACGCTGATAATCACTTATTTTGTGGTTTTAATTTTTTACGATACCTGGCCCGGATGGAGGTCATAAGAATTCTGGGAAATCTGGAAGTAAACAACAGCAGCAGAACATGTTAGTTTGGTCAAATTTTACATTGAAAATAGAAAGCAGTCTCAGGGGCGGATCTGGCAACCAACAAGGGGGGGGGGCCCAAATTTTAGGTCAGTGAAAAAACGTTTTGAAATTTTGAGGCCCATTTTCTTCAAAATTTGGCCTGAATTAAAAAAATAAGGCCTTAAAAGGCCCAGTTATGACCAAAAAGGCCGACTTTTTGGGGCCTTAAGGCTTTTTTGGGCCCAATTTTTTTTTCTGGGCCCACCCAAGGGGGGGGGGCCCGGGCCCCCAGGCCCCCCCCCCTAATCCGCCAGTGAGTCTTGACATATTTGTTTACTATAATCTACGACCTACCATTACAATTTCAAAAATATGAGTTCAGAAAAATTGTTTAGGCCGATATTACTTTTCTGTATATTGTAGGTTTGTATTTAATGCTTTTTGGTACAATACATGGTAGTATAATTGTATTAAGAACAAACCGAAACAAGCTTGTAGGCACAGATTAACCTGCAATTAATTGTAGTTGAGAAATGAATATGAATAAATTGATAAATGAAAAATAATAGATCTTGTAAGATAGGCAAGTCAAGATTAGTCCAATTTTAAAATAAGTAAAATATTTCTGACACAATTAATTTTCAGTTTCATTTGAAATGGTGTTTTTGGATATGTTTTCCCTGTAAAAGTGTTTTCGCTTGTCGATATGAAGCAATCAGTATGACTTTCTGCTTATGTTTTTGCAGGCTAAATGTTTTTTTGGCAGTGAAATTAATTGATTTCTTAATGATACCAAATGAATGTACTCACCTAAACTGTGAAGGTTAATTATCAAATTGTTACAGTTATTACCCAAAGATTTTCAATACACCTTTGGAAATCTTCACTGAAAATGTATTATATACCTCAAAATACACCCAAAATGAACCAAGCCTCTACTTTCTAGCTATTCTTAACTCCATACACTGATAATTTTACAGCTGGCACTTTAACCGATATGTATGTCATGTATCAGAGGTACTAGAATTTTATTGAGCCATGAGTCTCCCTATATAAGCTCTGGTGGTACTATGAACTTGTTTGACTAAAAACAAGCTAAAAAGCATTCAAATGTACATGTACTCTATATGTTTCAATAAGTGAAAAGATAATAAAGGCAGACCATCCGATCCATTAAATAGTAAGGTGCATGTAAAAATAGAGGGTACAGTATTTCGACTCAACTACGAGGTACTTGTAATTTCAGAAGTAGTTTCAAATTGTAGACAGTTCTACACAATACTTGTGAAAATTATGTCACATAGGAGTATAAAATCCTTTTTTGCTTAAGTTTTGCTTCTTCTGTTTAAATTTGCATCACCTATTTTAAGAAAATGCCTTCACCAGTCCCTGGCTTCAACCTTGATCATGTATGTATTTAGCTACTTGTTAAATGCTGCACAATTTTTGCGAATATTACAGGGTTGCTGCTAATATATAGCAAGTTTAAAATAATCAAGTTCAAAGTACTGCTATAATATCATCATTTGTACTTAAGACCAGAAGTTTTATTTTCAGGAATGGAAGAAGCAAGCACGAGAAAACGAGGACGTCCAAGGAAAAGTTTACAATCTATAGGAGATGACAACAATGATAGCATCACTAGTACACCAACGAGTAAACGTGCTAAACTGGAAGATGAACAGGAAACTATTGGAGAAAAGGAAGGTACTCTAACAGAACAAAAGTCAAATGATGCAGGAAATGATAAAGAAGATGAGGAAATTGTACCTGAAAATGAGAATACTATACTGGAAAAGGGGGCTGAGACATTAGTATCGCCTAAAAGAGGACGTGGTCGGCCTTCAAAGAAGAGGTTATCTGTATCAAGTAATGTAAGTAATGAAAACATTACTGATGAAAAACCTAACACTGAAGATGACGCTATTGTTGAAACTGTTGAAGCGAAAGGAGATGCTGTAATACAACAAAATGATGAAGGGGATGTTAAAGGAGATGAAAAAATTGTACCCAATAATGAGAAAGTTAAACTGGAAAAGGAGACTGAGACATTAGTATCGCCTAAAAGAGGACGTGGTCGCCCTTCAAAGAAGAGGTTATCTGTGTCAAGTAATGGAAGTAATGAAAACATAAATGATGAAACACCTGCTAAACCAGAAGATGAACCTGAAACTATTAGAGTAAAAGGAGATGCTCTTACTGAACAAAAATTAAATGATGCGGGAGATGTCAAAGAAGATGAGAAAAGTGTACTGGAAAAAGAGACTGAGACACTAGTATCGCCTAAACGAGGCCGTGGTCGCCCTTCAAAGAAGAGATTTTCTGTGTCCAGTAATACAAGTAATGAAAATGTAACTGATGAAAAACCTAATGCTGAAGATGATACCAATACCTCCTTAAAAACAAGCCCTAAAGAAACTACACCAGATAATAAAAATGATAACACTGGTAGTCAAATAGCACAAACTCTAGAACCAGAAAATGGATCTCAAGTACCAAGTGAGGATACATTGAAGGTTGAGAAAACCTCTAGGAGTCAAAAACCTATCAGCCAAAATGTTCCGAAAGAACTTGCTGTCCCTATTCCACAAGAGAACATGGGAGTTGATGCTGAATATCTCCCCTTATTCCATCAACCGATAATTGTTGAAGGCAAGCGTGCCCGTAAACCTAAAAAACGTTACGATGAAGAAGAATACATATCACCAAAAGAAATCTCATCGCCCAACTCTTCATCAAAAAGCCCTAGAGTCGAGGATAAGGCAGTAAAAGAAGACGCTAAGAGTCCAAGGAGTCAGAAAAAATCAGCTGAAGATAAAGCGAGGGCCGCTGCAGAAAATACACCCATTGTAGAGTCACCAAAGAAGAAATCAAAGCCAATTGTTGAATCACCAAAGAAGAAATCCAAGCCTGCACCGGCAGAGGGGACAATAAATTTTAAGAACATACAAGATAAGATTCGACCAAAGAAAGTTAAAGTCATCAAGTCAGCACCAAGTACACCAAAGTCTGCTGCTGCAGTTCAGTCTCCAAAGTATGTTAAATCAATATAAGTTAATGAAAGGCATTCATGTGTGTGCAACACTTAGTTTAGAATTTGGAAATAAAATTTCACCAAGGTGAATCCATTTGTATCTAAATGAGAATTTTTAACCCATTATAAGAAATTGATGAAAAAGAACATTGCACATGGTCATAGGTATAAACTAGAAAAATCTTTGATATGATTTAGATTACATATTTGGTTGAAAACACTATTACTTCATGTACAGTATTTAAAACGTTAAACATTTCGTGAATTTGTGAGTTTGTGATCATATATTTTGTTGCATATAATAGAGGCCCAGGCCAATCTGAAGATAAGAAGGTGAAGAAGAGAGATGTGATTTTGGAGAGACCAGATGGATCTATGTATAGAAAGTGTGGGATGTCTCGCTGTACTTCTGATATTCCTATCTGTGCCATACGTTGTGCTGCACGGTGAGTTTGCATTAGCAGATTTCTTTAACTACTAGGCTACTAGCATTACATCCTCTCTATTTACCTGTATCTGTTTGTAATTGAAAGTAGCTAAGAGGGTGGGGGCTGATTTGCGATGTTCTTAAACAAGATTTACTCTCTACCCATCACAAATATATACTGATCAATACATAAATATTTTACGTTCTCTTATTATGATTTTAACAAAGTCCATATAACTGGATGGGGGTTAAGCAAATGAGAGTGTAAAAATGATCTTTTGAAAAAACAACTGAAAGGCAAATCAACATTTTCTAATTTTGTTTTATGAGGGAAAGGGAGGGTTAAACCATAATGAAATAACTTTGTCTTTTTACAAACTGAACACCTTCCCCATTGAATATTTGCACATATACGCATAGTGACAAGTAGTGACATATTGTTAAAGTCTCCAACTTTTTTGTGGATGGTGTTTTGCAGTTGGTGTTTGGTGGTTGGCATCTGTAACAAATGGCAGGTGGTGACATTTTGCATGTTAATGCCTTGTCTCATATTGGTTTGATACATTGAGATTATAGTTGGCATAAAGATACATTTTGAACAGCGTAAATACAAATTGAATTGATAGACTAAATATTTTGTATATTAATATTTAGTTGCTGTGGAGATGGCATGACATCACGATGGTACCATCTATCAGCTGGAGAGCACTACTGCAATGACTGCTTCGAGTACTATTATAGAAGGTAAACCTTTTACTTGTGTGGAGTACTAGTGAATATAACCGTTTGATTTTAAATCGCCTCAAAAATAGCTGTTATGGCCTTAAATGAGTGTTCTGTTGTGAAATGATTGCCATGTACTTACAAAAACATAAGATTAAATGAATTCTATTCTGATCGGGCTCTGGATTTGATCTTCCAAGTATTCTAATCAGTTAAGGTTAGATCAAAGCATCACCGCTCAGTCAGAGTGTACATGAAGTTCTCTTTTAGAGGAGCAAAATCAAACTATTTTTATTAATAATCAATATTTATTTTTCAATTACAATTTCCTATATACAAAAGAGGTTGTCAGTCACCAATTTGGGTATTATAGGATCAGGCAGCATATTTTGCAATGTTTGGCTTTTAATGGAAATTAAGCCTGGCATAATGAAATGGTAGTATTTAAAACTGTCTTTGGAATACATAAGTCACATAAATGTTATTTTGATGCTTTGTATTCCTTATATTGGTCTGCAAATCCAGTCAAAGGCTCCTCACTGATTGCATCATAATGTGGCTGTAGTATGTCCTTAACTAGCTGCATCCAAGCCTCCAACTTGGGCCTACCTTTCACCATATCATAGCCAGTTGACTCAACCTGTGTGAGTTCTGTGATTAGTTGTAAGTCAGCTATTGTGATGTCATTCCCAGCAAGATATGGGGTTTCCTTCAGCCAGATTTTTTCAAGTTTGTCCAGGAGAGCCTCAAATCCATCTCTAAATTCTTTCACCTGTGTATCTGTGAAATGTCTGTCAAGGAACAAAGGCCCATAGAACTGTAGAACAAATGACAAGTTATTAAATTTACATGATATGCTTGTTTGTAATGTTATCACTATTGATTTAGATCTGTGTTTTATTTTATTTAACGGTGAAGTTAATCTCAGTTTATTTGATCTACTAGATATAGTTATTTTTGTTAATTTAATTCCCAATTGATCTGATCTGACACATTGTGACTTGTGGTTAACACAAATTTTTTCATTGCAATCACATATAGGGGAATTGTTATTATTATATAGAGATTAATGCAAGGTTTTGTCTTAGTGTTCTCAGTGAAATACTTGTAGAAATGTGAGACTTACTGTGGAGACAAAGTATCCTGATGCATATTTTCTCACATCAGGACCATGCCAGGCCAGGTATGTGTTCACAAGGATCCTCTCCTTCCCACTCCTTGGGTACCAGTGAGGAGATACCCCTTCCAGCTCAGCTAGGTACTGCAGGGCTGCAGAGCTTGATATAAAGAAGATGTGAAGTTATACATTTATAATGTACATCATCCAAAGAAAAGGCAAATATGTGGACAGTGACAAGATAGGCTTTTTGAACATAATAAATTAATTTGATTACATACTGACAGAGAAAATATGGAAAATGTGTACCTCTCACAGATATGTGCTACTCCTTCTACAACAAGTGTCGGGACTCTTTTAAATGGGTTAACATTTGTCGCATATTCTTCTGTCCCAATTCTACCTGTAAAACAATGATAAAATTAATGAAATGAAACTACATGATGGATGAATTTAATAACTAGTGAAGTATCAAAGATATCTGTAAATGTAAACTTTTTTATGTCTCATATCTTCCACTTTTTGGTTTAAGGGTCCTTATACCTTATTAGACCTTATTATATTGTGTAATGAAAACAAAAAAATAGTGACAAAACAATTATGTTGACATGGTTTGAGATGACTTTGGGTCGACTTGACCTGGAAGCATTGTCTTGATCTCTTATTTTAAATAGCTACTCGTTTTGAAGAGTCAATTAGTTTAATTAAGTTGAAATGTGATTTAGAAATTGAAATTATATGATTCATCAGTTGGTCATAATGAACTTGGCATTCTCTATATATTCCTTAAATTCTTGTTATGACCTAGAGTTGAGGTAGCCATCTTGAAACTTTGAATTTATATTAGCAGTTTTCAGTTGCAGGGGTAAGTCACCAACCCCCCCCCCCCCCCCCTTATTTTACCTGTATACTTGCACATAGGTTAAAAAGTGGTGATGGTTTATAGTTAAAAGGAGGGGTCATTTATTTAAGAAAATGTATATTGTATATGAAAAATAAAGATATGGATGAAATTAAGTTCAGTCAGTGATTCAACTATTACAATACAAAATTAATGTACAAATTAATATATGTACAGGTAATAATATATGTATACTTACGGCCAGCCTTTGGTTCCAAAGGGCAGGATACAAAGTCAAAGTCAATGTTGTTTGTCCTCAGCATTAATGCTACTGCCCTAACTGGCTGGGACTTATAGTCCCCATATAGTTTAAAAGGAGCCATTATAAAATGTCTAGACCATGTGTTTTTACATGTATTTCTGCAATATCACTGTGTACTTATGTATCTGACACCTGATAAAATTATGTTTGGCTTTAACAAGGTCAAGTATTGACTGTTAATAGTTTTATAGTGTATTTGAAGCCTGATAAAGTTATGTGATGCTATAGGCCAAGCAAATGGGCTCATAAAAGGCCCAAACATCCCAAAAATTGCAACAGTTTTTAAATTAGTCTTATATTATGTATTAATATCAGTTGAAAAACATATCAAAAATATAGAAAAATGTATGCAGTGGACAAATATGAAATTTCACTTCCTAGTTACCCCCTACAACCCTACCCCAAAATTGAGTATTGGTAGGAAACAATTTTTTCTTCCCAAATGGAATACTTTAGTCAAGTATTCAAGCTTTATTATGATAGATCACACATTCACAAATAATTAAAATATCATTTTAATCAATTTTGAGACCAGTAATTGGTCATTTGACTCCAAAGTATAACAAAATAGGCCACAAAACAGGCATGTTATCACATATCTATTTAGATATTTTAGGATCAGTTAGTCAGAAAAGCATGAAAAAAATTATGGTGTTACATATTCATATGAACTTCATATTTGGTGAGTGTCAGAATTCTAAGGTGTATACTTAGGAAGAAAAAAATTATTTCATTTTCATAGTTTTGCCCCGCCCACTATAAGGGAGACTATAGTTTTGATGATTAACTCCCACAATGCATCACATTTGTATTAGAGTTGACATCTAAATCATTTATATAGGCTTGTCATCATCTAAAATACAAGTTTTGTGAAGGTTTATACCTTATTAGTATGAAAAATAGGAATTATTAGTTGCACCAGGTGAAATGTTAAGGTGACCTCACTTTTATTTGATGAATAATTACATATCACCACTCTGATATTAGGGTATTTGATAACTGCTCTATACTAGGCTTATCTAAATAATGTAAGTTGTAGTTTTTGTGGAATTTAATATTGTTTAAATTATTAATTACAATCCGCAATTACTAAATTTGCATATATTTAAATTCATCAGATAAATAAATCATTACATAAGAGTACATTACTATGGAACTATCAATTGGATGTATAATGCTGTAGAAACGAATTTATGGTTATTAAACGGAATTTAAACCGACAGAGAACATTAAAATCTCAGATATCTGGGGAGTCTTTCATTAATATAATTTCAGTGCATAGGAATGATGGTAATTCTGTCTGTCAGGTTGGAAAACATTGAGTGTACATGCGCTGCATTCAGAATCGGATGCAGATATTGTGATTGTGAAAACTGCAATCCAAAGTGTCCAAACCTCAAATACAGTACTCATACAGATCTCCTTGTGCTTCTCATTTATCATGCACAAAACACAAACTTCAACATTTTCTTCAAACCTGAACCAAAAGCAGCAACCCAAGAAACAAAATGTTGGAATATAAATGAAATAAGATTGTCTTTGGGAAAAGTGGTCTGTGACGATATTTTGTTTCTTTTCTGGGGTGTGACATCGCATTCAGGTTATATATGGCATAGACAAGAGTCTATCATTGAGGCAGATAAAAAAGAGTGAGTTCTTGAGAAAACAAGCGGTTGTTTTTAAATTACCAAAAGCACTGGTGATCCGCTCGATTACGCTTGTCGTTTCGGTAACAAAATGTCTAAACGTCGAAAGTACGATATTTCTTTTTTCCTTTTTTTTCACGCGTTGTAGGCAGAATCCCCACGATGTTTTTTTCTCACAGAATTGTTGATTTTATTCCTTATTTAAGTTAAATAAACAGTTTGGGTTAAAAGTGCAGATCTTAATTGTTTATCGAAATACCGTTTATGTAACTTAAGTGAGGAATTAAATCGAAGATTCTGTTGTCTTCTGAACTATTTGTTCGCAAATATGTACATTTTTAAACATATAATACTGATACATGTTTGTGATAACAATGTTGTGGGAATTCTGCCTACAATGTGTGAAATAAAGAAAAAAGAAAAATCAAACCTTCGATGTTCCGACATTTTGTTACAACGTAAACAAGTAGAAAACCAGTGAAATGCAAGCAACTCTGTCATTGCAGAGGAACATGCTCTTTTGTCAATTTATGGTGGAAAAATGGTGAAACCCTAAATTATCTTAGGCTTCTAAAATTCTATTAAAAGAGAGCAGCAGGATCTGAATTATTGCAGCTCTTCCTCCATTTTCTGATGCTGCGGAATACCACAGTTACAGAGTGTACCATCAGATCCAGGAGTGGGAGGGAAATAAACTGCCTCCATTATAATTGGGCTGGGAAATAGGCAACGAAACTATGTACCTAACCAATTGCCTAAATGCAGCTCCCCTTTCTCAGAGATCATCCATTGTGTGTGTAAGGCAGATTGTATTTCTATGAGATGTTCTTGTAGAAAAATGAAAAAGGTATGCAAAGGCATTTGTGCAAATACCTCCATTACTGATCATGAGAATAATGATGACTAAAAAAAAATTGGGCCCAAAAAAGGCCTTAAGGCCCCGAAAAGTAGGCCTTTTTGGTCATAAATGGGCCATTTAAAGCCTTATTTTTTAATTGAAGAAAATGGGTCTCAATATTTCAAAATTTGGGCCCACTTCAGGGTTTTAGGGGCCCAAAATTTTTTCCGCGGAAGTTTTTTCTCAGACCTGACATTTGCCCCCCCCCCCTTGTTGGTTCCCATATCCGCCCCTGATGAAGGCTGGTGATAGACAAGGTTGTAACTGATTGTTGTTAAAACATAATAGTATTAAGCTTATTTAATCAGCATTCTTTTTTGCTCTCTATAAGTAAGACACATATATGAAGGTTAAGATTACAAAATTAAGGCAGCATTTTCGATAATGAACATAACATAATCGAACCAGGCCCTGTATAAAGACCAGGGATTTACTTTGCGTTACACTAGTTAACTCAAGAGGATTTATTAATGTAAAAACCTTTGGCTCATTTTTTATTTAAGTTCATCTTGAAATCGAACATTCTTCAGTTGAACTTCTTCATTTCATTTCTCAATATCACTGTGTGGTTAAGAACACCTTATTCAAAAGTAACAATTTTTCCTTAATACAGGGCGAGCCAAAAAGGTAACCCAAACAAATCTTAATAATCCAGTCCAATCATCCTGCATGGATTTAGTGTCATATTTGGCAGAATTGAGTCTTGGTCAATGTATTATCAATCTACCCAGTCTCAGTGGTCTCTAGTGGTCAAGATTTTATGGCCATTTTATACCATGCCATGAAATATGGGTGTCATTCCTGGAGGCCAACTTGTACGTATCGTGTTGTTCAAATCAGGAGCATAAAAATCATGTGTTATGACTCTCATCTTCATTCTTATCTCTTGTTTTAATGTTTCAAGTGTTGTTAGTATCGAAAAAAGGTCCACAGATAAAAAAAAAAACTGGTGGTATTGATGTCCAGTCAGTTAGGCACATTTCGATATTTTGAGCACATTTTGTAAATGGCCATAAAATCGTGACTATTAAGGATAGATCAATGACACTTAGTAGAATGAAAGAACATTGAACAAGGTAATTGTGCTAAATATGATGTCAAACCCATGCTGAATGACTGGGTTATTAACAAACATTTGGTTGGGTTACCTTTTTTGGCTCATATTAATAAACTGATGTCAGTGACAGGGATATTTAACATTTTGTTGCCTTTTCAAGGACATTTTTTGACCACTGATTGTAACAAATCGTTCTCTGTTTTATCAGAAAAGGTATATTATATATCAAATTGAATTTAAAAGGAGAAAACATTTGATAATTTAACAGTTATCAACTAAAAGTAGGGCTTCCCCTATATTTCACCTGGCATTTGCTGTTTTTCTACTTTTTTTGCATAATCCTTTTCTGAAAACCTCAAAAAACTGTTTTCGGGACAAAATAAGCCTTTACAAATAATTTAGTTGTGCTATTGAGTTCAAATATGACATATCTTGGAAGTAATTAAACAAAAGTAAGGTCACCCCAAAAGTGGGTGTGGTAAAATATTGAAATTTCAAATATTATTTTCACGCTCAATATTCATTTAATGACCCTGATACTTATCAAAGACAATGTTCAGGTGTACAATACCCTCCTAGATATTTTTCATGCAATTCTGATGAATTGATACAGAAATAAATACATTGTTATATTAAATTCGGGCTATTTGATGGCCTATTTTCAGATATTTGGCGCTAGAAATGCCAATTATTGCACTCAAATAGTTGGTTAACAATTTTTAGTTGCTCTTATGTCAGTAAACTATCATAATATTACTCGTTTAGTTGACAAGAGTATTCCATTTTGAAATAAAAAAATATTTACAATCCCATACTCAAATTTGGAGGGGGGTACCTGGAATGTGACATTTCATATTTGTCCACTGCATATATTTTTCTATATTTTTGATATGTTTTTCAACTGGTATCAATATACAATATAAGCCTAATTTAAAAACTGTTGCAATTTTTGGGATGTTAAACTTCCATTTGCCTAGCCTACTATAGATATAAGTAAATTCACATTTCAATTCAATTCTGTTCAGTTTATTTCTCATTTCTCATTCATGATTACAAACACTGTACATAAAAAGGCAACCCCTAGGGGTGTGTCTAACCCTCATATCCCCTTGTCTCCTGAAGATGTTACTACCTACGAAAGTTTAGAACTGATTATATTTGAGGCATTCTGGTTAAATATTAAGGAAATCTTGTGTGTCGAGGCTTGCCTACAGGTTTCCAGTCAAACCGTTTCATGGATTCATCTGAAATCTTTAGGGATGTTATTACGTAAGAAAGTTTAAAACTGATTAGTTTTTGGGCAGTCTGGGTAAATGTTAGGTAAATGTTAAATGTAAGGTAAATGCTAGGTAAATGTTGTATTGAAATTTTTATGGATATTATTACATACGAAAGTTTAAAGCTGATTAGTTTTTAGGCAGTCTGGATAAATGTTAGGGTGTCTATTTGGTAGAGATTAAAAGGTGGATTGGATCGAGTGGATTGGATTCATGTAAAAGGTGGATTGGATCGGGAATCTTCAAAATGTGGAATTTCTTATAAAAAAAATTCTGTTGATTTCCCTCTACAGTTTTACAGGTCCCTTTTGAGAAATCAGAACAAAGCAATGACAAATACATACTCCAATTAGTTCAGGGACACTCTTGCTTTCCCTTGTAAATCAACTTTTGTAAGACATAGATCTTTAGAAAAAGAAAACCTGTCATTCAAATTAATGTGTGAATGTTCACAAAACATTTTTGGTATGTTCAGTTTGGATTGAAAACAGATATGGATCTTCAAACCAGTCTGCCTTATGATTTATGAAATGTCTCAAATTACACTTGGAATGAATAAGATCGTGTATCAGAAAGCAGGTACCAGGTCAACCTTCTAGCCCACCCAAGCAAAATAATATTACATCTATTATTTGACACTGTGCAAGTGAAGAGAGCACCAATCTTCCTAAAGGGAGATCAATAGAATTTTTTAAAGGAAAATCCATATTTTGAAGATAGCCAATCCAATCCACCTTTTACATGAACCCAATCCACTCGATCCAATCCACCTTTTAATCTTTACCGTCTATTTTGGATTTTTTTCCTAAAATCTTGTCTGTCAAGGAATGTCAACAGGTTTCCAGCCAAACCATTTCATGGATTCATGTGGAAAGCTTTTCATTAATATTTTAAGAAATAGAGTAAACCACAAGAGATCAAGTGAAAGTTCTCAATTGTTTGTTTCAGTCAGAAGGCAGGATTTCCCATGCTGGAACAGTGGAAGAAAGAGTGGTCAGAGAATGGAAAAACAGAACCTACAATTAAAACATTCATGATCGATCAGGTATGTAAAATATTTCAAAGAGGTGTATTATTGTATATTGATGGGTAATAGCTGTTGGCCAGTGGTGTTTCATTCTTTGACTTAGAACTTCATTATTGGTCATTACTTAAGCTTTTGTCAGTCTTCGAAGTTTTCTTTTCATGTACAGGGTGTCCCGAAAGTATGCCCCCCCCCCCCTAGGCAGACATATACCAGTGTTGTAATAGTATGTGTCATATATCATTTTAAAGTTTATCCAAACTTACATTGATTTGCCAAGTATCATGGTTCAACTCTCAAATGGGAAAAAGTTACAGGCATTTAAAAATTTAGTGTTTGGTCAAAATTAAGTTTAATTTTACACCAAATCACTAGTCAATGTGTCCTCTCGTGCCATCTCAGGTACATGTCTACCTAGGGGTGGCCCCATACTTTTCGGGACACCCTGTATACAAATATGCTGTGCACCATTAGTATAACTATTGTTATATTGACTAATTTGGACAAAAAAAATGTTCCATGCTGTAAGTATGATTTACCAACACCAAAAGAATCTAAGTGTTTGGTATTTAACTGAAGTTAAAAAAATATAGAATCTGTTTGCTAAATTAAATGTGGCTGATCAAAGTGGAGTAAAAAAAGTTCTGTTTCAGTTGAAGCATTTCATAAACCAATTCCCTCCATTTCAATGCCCAACAACAACAAAAAGTCATCTAAGTCTTTCACAAGTGCTGTAACATTTTTTTAACATTGAAATGCTAGTACTTTGATGTTGTACTAATATATTGTTGTACATCATGATTTAAAACATTAAAAAATACATTGAACTATGAAAACAATTTATCTTTATTTGATTTACAGCAGAAGGTCAATTATGCATCAGTATTCATAAAAGGTGTATTTTATTTCACAATAAAATAATCAATATTTCGAATACATTTAAGCAAGGGCCAATTATGTGCATATTTCCTGATTCATCCTTTATGTCCATACTTGCATAATAGTTCAGGGCATGTATACTCTTGCTATTCCACTAACCATCAGGAGTTTCTTTTATGTCATCATCTACCCAGTGATCTAGCAATGGAATAATCAGCATTGGTGTAACTACTGTCATTACTTTGGAAATTCCTTGTGCATATTGGTGTGGTATCTCGCCCATCATTGGGCCAATAGCTGTTATAATTGTTTTCATGATAGGCTTTGCCTTACGCAGGTTTCTTATTATAGATTGCTTAATTTCGTCTCGTGAAGTGTTATTTTCCAGTTGTTCTTTCATAAATATTCCTTCTATTTTCTTGAAAAGTCCATGTTTGTCTTCATATGCAGTTTTATCAAGGCCCCATGTACTGATTTTCATCATCAAGTCTTTCGCTTGGTTGGTTCTGTGTTCACGGCTGGTTTTATTGTTTATAATAAATGTACGTCCACCACAATCTTTGATCAGTTTCTTCAGTGTTTCTGGGGAATTGTTCATCAGCTCTTCCTCAGTCATATTCTCTTCAATCAGTTTATCACCACAAGTGAACAACACAACTGCATGATTTAACATACCATCTCCTAATACTTTACGGCATAGCTCAACCGTTGTCTCATCTTCAACTGTATACCGTCCATGTCCTATCGCTATAGTGATGAGGAAAACATGAGGCCCTGGGGCACATATACTCAGACACTTCAACAGTTCGATAGCATTCTGATCCTTTTTGACTCTCGTGTCAAATATTCCTGGAGTGTCGACGATCATATATTTCGTCCCTTGATAGTTGACATAGTCATACTGACAAGAACTTGTGTCTGACTGGAAACCAAGGACACTCTGAAACTTCTCTTTGCCCAGTAGGGTATTGCATGAGAGACTTTTGCCCGCCCCTGTTTTACCAATCAGGACTGTCCGCACTTCATCTGAATCAAAAATGAGATTGAAGGTGAACATAAATAAATCATGATGAAACCATATCACCCTGTCTGATTAAATACACCATCTTTTGTCAAACCAAATCAAGTCAAATTGCAATTTTACCTAAATTTTATGTAGCAATTTAACATACCAAATGCTATATACAGTCTAACTTTCATATTGTCATAATATGTGAAATGGTGTTTAAGCACGTTTGCTATTTCAGACCATCAAAATGTGTCTTAAAGAGGAAAATGTGTTAATTTGATGCTTGAAGTTTAAATGGTCAAAAAAACTACAATATCCCAGTCTAACATCTAACAAAGAAACAAGTTTTAATGACCCTTATTATGTAAAAATGTGTATTAACTGAACAGAAATTCTTCATGTAGAACATAAGGAAAATTACTATTTAAAGCATATAGTTTGGAAGAGGAATAAAAATTTTAAAAATGCATTGCTGCCAAATACTCATGTGTAAGCTCTTGAATTTGACATCAGACAGTTGAATGAAAGTTATGATAGGGTGATTTTAATTCAAAGTTAATAATTATCAAACCCATTAATCCATTATCACAAGTGCTATTTATTATTTAAAGGGTGGAGTGTTTTATTTTATTTACATGACAGACAAAAACAGTGAAGTAATATGACTGTTAGAGTCAGTGCGCTAACATATGTTCACCTTAAAATAACTCTTGTGTGTTGTTGGTAATTTATCATTTAGTACAAACTGAAGTCAAGATGACCTTCATCAGCTGTAAAATATTCTGTACCTGAACACTGTTAGAAAAATGTTTTGGTTTTAAGGTAGAATCTTGAGAAATATATTTTTGGCTTTATCAGGAAAGAAAAAAAAAATTCAGGGGGATCCTTGAACAGTGTCCCCCATGAACCAATTACTGTGTGATTGACCCCTGTACATAATGAGATAAGAATCTATTATGGGTATGATAAGGGGGGTTGTACTATCAGGCCTATTATTGTAACGTTTCAACTCACCGGCTAGTTCCCATGGATGGAGGTACTTGGCCATATGTTCATAGCCATCCTGTCTCTTACAAGTCTCCCAGTACCAGCATGGGGGACGATCACTAAAATACAAATGTATAAAGGCATTAATTGCTGTCTCTGAATGGTTGAATATAATAACTTCCAGTACTAAGTGTACCTGGTACATGTTAAAATTGGAAGGCCGATGAAGGCATACTATTTTTTGTTGGCAACCTAAATCTTTCAGAAGAAATCGGACAAAAATTACAAGTTGGATAGTTTTTGTATTCTGAATATCGTTGTGAAAAAAGAAAGGGTACTTTTTTAAACAATGTGGTTTATATTGATTGAGCTGCTTTTAACCAAACAACCAAACAAAAGGACTTGACACTAATGCCTAGAAGCATGGGCTTTCAAGATGCTAATGTTTTGTTTTTGTGAATAATAGCCTACTGTCTATTTTTATTGCTGATTCATTGTTCTGACGTGCAGTTATCTACTGCCTTAGTGAACTCAAGCTTTTTAGAAACACATCTTTTTAGTATGAAAAGCATAAGTCACTGTGCTCACTTGGGAAACAGTGTAATTGACGAAAAATGTGGAAAAAATGTTGAAGAGATGATAATTTTCAAGATGGCTTCTCAGGAAGTTGAGTAATGTGCATTGCGCTTCCATGTCATGAGATTTCCGCTTCCGATTACACGCATGCGCATTGGCAAGACTTCCTGTTCAGACGCCACGGAAAATAACAAGTTCCAAATTCATTTTCGTCAATTACACTGTCTCCCGACTCCAGTTAGCGTTCTACGATTATTACAACGATACTTTATGATGTTATACATCGATTTAAGAAGTGTAAGTGTTCCCACAATTTCTAACATTTCTGTAAAAGACCTTTAACATGGGCTGGGAATATAGAATTTTGCAAGCTATCTCTCAGGAGATAGCTTTGTGTAAACTAAGTAATACTCAACTTGGCTGTGCTGGCTAGTCAGGTATTTAGATGACATTATGAAAATTAAGGCAAAATTAAAGACATGTAAGAACCCTTTTGACTTAGTTCAACCATCAGATAATAAGGACATGACTGTTGTACCTCAGAAATTAAAATATCTAAGCAGGGTGTGGTATGAAAAGACAGGAAAGGGTAACCCAATTTAATAACCCTAGGAACACCTCTTTTTAGTATGAAAAGCAAAGCTACTAAAGATGTTGTGCCTCTGAAACTAAGTAGGGTGGGGTATGAAAAGAAAGAAAAGGGTATTTCCCAATTAGACAACCCCACTGTACGTATTACGTAACTCCTACCTGCAGTCTATGTAGGGAGGTATATCTGTACTGTGGATGTACTGACTTCTATGTTTCAGTGTCTTGTTCTCACAGTCTGTAAACTGCATGCAACTCCTACGTCCTCTGCTTTGTGAACTTGAAGCAAGTTGTGCTGATGCTTTACTAGGTTTTTGTCCCATTTTGATGTTTAATGAATAATCCTAGTTAAGGAGCTACTTGCTTCAATGCTTGTCCATCATAAACTTGATTTTTATAAACCACCGTTATCCACACAGCGGTATAAATTCAGGCTGACTTTTAATCTGTAAAGTATAATGCTTGTTGTGTAGATCTGAAGTTCTTTATTCTGAATTTTCTGTTGTCAAATCAAAATTACATCCCTGATTCTAACGATCAAAGTATGTTTATGAATCATGTAAATATTTACGTCAGCTTTTCTTTGTTAATGGAATTTACTTGAGTTTCACTTTCAGCTTGAGTTTCAGTTCTGAGAAGTGGCATTTATACTATGTACACACACATGAGGTGAAGAAATTGTGGCTTGGTTTTGATTAGTTAGTTGTGTTTATAGTACATTTGAATATATTTTTTGTTATATTGTTTGCCATGATCCCTGATATATCATTGATTTAAAGGTAAAAAGTATATTGTGTTTCTATAATTGTTTTATTTTGCTTTTGTGTCGGTGAACATAGTAGAATTCTTTACAAAGTATGGGGAATCCCCTTTGAGAAATTATTTCTTGAATTTTGCCAATTTGTCAGTGGACCAAGCTATGTGGTTGCTTTCTTTACCTACCTGCAGTTGACATGCCATGTAAAAGATGCTGTTTCCATCATTTGCCTGTATTTTTAGAATGCTTTTTTTGACTTAGTTCAACCATCAGATTATTTTAGAAATAAATATTACTGTATGCAATTTTGGTAGCATATACCATGTTCTAATTTTCCCAGCCCAACCCCAGGAGCCAAAAAGTTAATTTGCATCAATTTTGAGATCTCTTCAAAGTTAAATTAAAATGTGTAATTCCAGGTGCTATTTTACTGGGTTCAATGCAATGAGTGTAGGAAATGGCGAGAGATGTCAGCTAATTTCCAGCTGACACCTGAATTTATACGCAAGTTTGTGTGTGGGATGTCAGAGGATGAAGAAGAAACTGGATCCCCTTCAGAGACAGAATGTGCCAAACCCATGGACAAGGTAAAATATTTATTTCCATTAATTATACAATCAATGTTTAACATTATATATTTTTTCATTATAATGTACAATCATTATAGTCGGCATTATCATTGTTGTGTTTATGAGGACCGCCTCTCTTTAGTTTGACAATAAAGTTGAATCCATGAATATAACTTTAAATGTTTGTTAGTAGAACCATTTTACTTCAAGAAATAAATAAGGTTCGTTTAAAAAATCAATAGGATCAAAATGTTTTTATCAGTTAGAGGTCAAGTCATATTAGTAAATGAATAAAGCATTGATTGTTTTAGAGAGCTGAGGAAGTGTTAGATGAGAACTGGATTACTAGTTTGATCCTGCCTCCATACCTCAAGTTCTCCCCCTCCACCCCCTTCCTTGCCTCCTATTATCCTGACTGTGTGGGCCTCAGTGCTGTTGATAATGAACTACCTACAAACATGGCACACCTTAAAGCAGGTACATGTACATTAAATTAAAATTCTGCTTGGTTAATTCTAGTTGGAGAGGAAGTGTTTTCTAAACCTTTCAGTTACTATTTCTTGGATTTAGCTGGATTGTTCTTGCATTATGGAGATTTCAGATTGTTGTATGGACCATATACTCTTTTTTTCTTTTCTTGAAATGAAAATGCAGCTTGAAATTAATTACGAAATGGTATTAATCCAGATACTCGATCACTAACTTTAAAGTAAAAGTAGCTACAGTGCTTGTCACTGATATGTAGCAACTGGTATGCAATGGCATTTCACATGCCTCTTCCCCATGCTGATTGTATTGATGTCAATGTATTTGTATGTATTTGCTCTTATTATCAGATAAAGAAAATAATTTTGATGCTGGGCCTCCACATGTGTCAGGGACGAGTCGATTTATGCACATGTTTGCTGAACCCACTGATGTTGCCATGGCAATGTGCTACAAGCCAGAGGTGATGGACAGCGATGAAGTGGAGACATTCTCAGAATATGCCCAGTAAGAGCTAATTGCTATATTCAGTATCCATAGAATGATAATCTAGGGGATATCTATAAAGTTTTTCTATAAAGTTGATAAATTAAAGAATCTGGCAACATTCATATGACCTGTACTATAAGCACTTTATATCTAGTGCCAGAACTCATTCCTGATAATAAATGAACAGAGACATATATAGTTGTTTTAAATATATTTATTAATGTTTACTAATTAATAAATAATGCATTGCATAACACTGTGTTTGTTTCAGTGCACAACACATGTACCTCTCACTTAGAAATCTGGTGCTGTCACTCTGGTGCTTAAATTATAAGGTAAGTCTTTACATTGAAAGTTCTGATACCATGAAGCCTAAGTCTAAAGCGTACCGTCTGAAGTTGTAATCAGTTGGTCAGTTGGACAACACATCATGGAAAATAACTTACACTGATACGTTTTAATATTAAGACCTCCACAGTTTTTGTAACAATTTTAAATGCAGTTCTTGAGCTAATGATCAAAGATTATTTTCATAGATTTAATAAAAATTGGTAAAGTATCATTGACCTGTAAATATGCACTAATATATAGCCCAGAGTTCCAGTGTTAAAACATCATATTTTATCATTTAGGAGTATTTAACAGTGGATCGTTGTGTGCCATACTTAATCTGTCGAGGTCTTGTGAGGATAAGATGTCACTATGAGATAGATCGCATCATTAGATATCTCACACAGAAGGGTGCCATAAACACAGGCATATTAAGAAATCTACCAAAAGAGATCTACTTTGATTCAGATGAACAGCTAAAACAGGTATGAACTAAAGTCAGCTACTTTGGAAAAGCATGAAAGTGCAACTCAAAATTATTTTGACTCATTTGAATTCAGAAAATACACTTGAAGAATTTTGCTTGTAAAGCTGTTGTAATCTTGTACTTTTTATGAAGGGCTAGTCTTAAGTAATTTTCAAGCTCTGGTATTCAAAGAAAAGAATGTTTGCATCTGAGTTCATTCATAGTTGCTATGGTGTTTCTATGTCACCACCACTTGTGGTGACATATTGCTATAGTCTGCAACTTTTTGTGGACAATGTTCGGTGGCTAATGTTTGGCATTTGGTGGTTAATGTTTGACAGTTGACATCTGTAACAAATAGCATTTGGTGACATTTTGCACGTTAACGCCTTGTTTTGTTTTGAGCCATTTAAAATTAGTAAATACATACTTTTAGGCCAAGGTGCTTGTAATTGGAGCAGGTGCCTCGGGAATAGCAGCAGCTCGGCTTCTCCAGCTTCTTGGCCTGGAAGTGACAGTCCTAGAGGCCAGGGATAGGCTTGGGGGTAGGGTGTGGGACAGACCCCTGGGTCAAGCAACTGTAGGAGAGGGAGCCCAGGTCCTTAGTGGAAGTCTCAACAATCCATTTGCTCTCATCTGTCAACAGGTATAGACACCATAGCGAATTATTTATCAAATCAGAACAGTTGTGATGGATGTTACAATGAAAGTACATGTTGAGTAGTCGGAAATTACATGCAAATATGCTGAAAATATGTTTGCACCCTGAAATATTTTTACCAGGATAAATAAGATTAAGCCCCTTGCTCAGAAAAAAATATTTGAAGATCACTGGGGAAGGAGGACACAGATAAAGTCTACAGTAATGAAGAATTGTTGAAATATTTCTATTGTAGAAAGACAGGCCTCTGAGTGAACTATCTGAGAACTGTAGGTTGATAGAGCCTGGTGGTGCTACAGTTGACTCATATACAGACCATACCATAGAATTCCACTTTAATGCCATGCTGGATAACATTGCTGAGTGGAGAAAGAAAAATAAGAATAAAAAGGACACAAATCTTATGGGTAAGTATTCCAAGATATTTATTTATTCATTCATTTATTTAAGTGTCACCTATCTAAAATAGCCAGCCTTACCTGGGCTTATGAGACTTTAGATATAAGGGAGTTAAAGCTTGCATATTAACTCGAAACGCCAACCTATATGTATGACCAATCGCCCATACAAATGCACCACTTAAATATTATCCGTTCAGGTTTAGGTTGTGAAAAACATTGCAAGCCTATTGAGTGATAAATCTTATTGTTATTATACTTCAGAAAATAAAATGTCCTATGGTCTTGGGGTTTTGGGATTGTGGTAATGGTTTCTAAATAGTGGGAAATGTACCAGATATACTTTGAAATGTTTCTTTTCTCTCTGTGTTTTGTTTACTTTCCTTCACATTTGCATGTTAATGCCAAGTTTACTTTTACACCCTAATGCTGGGGATTTGTTTTTAACGACTGGTTGTACGTGAATGCATATAGATCCTTTTACTTCCAGCTAAATTCAAAGAGATGCACAATCAGTTTATTGAGGAGTCAGGCATGCAGTTTTCTGAAAAAGAGCTCAAAATGTTAGACTTCCATGTTGGTAACCTGGAGTATGTATGTGGTGCAACTCTGGATAAGATCTCCGCAACAAACTGGGATCAAAATGAAGCATTTCCACAGTTTGGTGGCAAACATGCAATATTGAAAAATGGTTATGGTGAAATTCTGCAAAAGCTTGCGAAAGACCTGAATATAGAGTATAATACAATCGTAAGTTAATCATGTTTTTTAAGCAAAAGATTTGAATTAAAAAGATTTACAATTAAAAAAAATTCTAGAAGAACCCTGAAACAAGCTCTGTCTTTGTTTTTCTAAGTTACCATCTAAAAGCAGTGACATCTTATTCAGCCACTTTTCGTGACAAGTTGGCATAAGCAATCAGGCTTTTCAGCATCTGTAACGAAATGTTACACTTGTGTAGCTCTGTAATACCTTACCAAGTGGTAACAATGTTAACATTTTGTCATGTTTAACTGGATTATTGTTAACTGCACCATTCTTTAATTTTGAATATGTCATCTGAATTGAATATTCTGTTTCAGGTATATAGTGTTGATTATAGTGGTGACCAAGTGATAGTGTCTGACAGTGGCAAGAGGAAGTGGACTGCTGATAAAGTGAGTATTAAAATCCTCCATGTGATATGCTCTCTATGTACAAATAACAAACATAGACAAAAGTACATCAAAGATATTTCAAAAATGCACTTCATCTCAAAGCATGTACCATATAATCAAAAAGATGCAAAGATGTTTGTACAGTCTTTTCAATATAATGAAAATAATGACTCCCCTTTGATGAAACAATTTGGGATCAGAAATAAAAATTGTTCTTTTTATGTCGAAACCACATCTGACGTATTGTTATTGTCTCTAACTGTTTTGTGGAGTGGTTGCTGTTAGGTGGTTGGTGTAGATGATCTGAGTTCAGCTGCTGTAACAAATGGCAGGTGGTGACATTTAGCAAGTTAATGCCTTATTTACTTTGTTCGATACAATATGTTGTATGTTTTAGGTTGTTATAACTGTACCTCTAGCCATATTACAAGGAGAACAGATCAAGTTCACACCCAAGCTGAATGCAGAAAAGATAGCAGCCTTCAACAGCTTAGCTACTGGCCATGTAGAAAAGGTAAAGCTAAATTGAATCTGTTTCATATTTTTCTCTATTTCTAGTTGTTATTTATATGATTGAATTCACTGTATTGTATTGTATTGCATTGTATTGTACTTCATCCTTTGGAAGATAAATAGGAATATTTTTATATTTTTAAGCCACCTGTTTGGCAATCTGCAATCTCTTCATTATTGCAAACCATTTAGTGATCCTGTTCTTATAATAGGTGATCAGGTATAATTTAACGGTGATGATTAACAATGCTTCAATGATAGGGATTTAAACAAGAGTGATTTGATCTCAATTTATACAAACTCATTTTTCTGATGACTCTGTTTCTAGGTGACCTTGTTGTTCCCTCGTTGTTTCTGGAAATCCAAGTTGAATGGGAACAGCTACTTTGGACGTGTTGTAAGCAAAGAGAAAGACAGGGGACTCTTCTCAGTGTTCACTGATTTGTCAACACAGGTAATGATTCATATCAATCAACTTCTTTACTACTTAGAGTATAGAATTTAATAAATGCATAGACTGAAATAAGAGAAGAAACACACTGAGAACATGTCAAAACGGTGTACTTTGTGTATAGTAAAACCTGTCTAATCCTATTGCCACTTGGACTAGCTAAAGTGTTCGGATTGGCAGGTGTTCACATTTCAAGGTTTTAATATGCTAATTCCTGATTGCAATGATGTGACTGAAAAGGTGTTCACATTCAGACATTCAGAGGTGTTTAGATTATAGAGGTGATCAGATATATATGTTTTACTATAGATTAGAAATATCTTGTATATAATATTCAGCCAGCAGGCCCACACATTTGAAACTGTTGCATGTATCAATCTTTTATATTTAGAATGAGGAAGGTGCTAGCTATATTCTGAGTACTCATATATGTGGAGAAGCCCTGAGTAATCTGCAGCAGAAGTCAGACAAGCAGGTGGTTGACATGGCAATGAAGATTCTCAATGAACTCTTCCCTGAGGAGGTATGTTAAGCTTCCCTAGTGTAGCAAAGGAGGTATTGTCCCAGGTGATCCATTTATAAGATGGTTTGATATCAAGTCAGTTGTTCATTTTGCTTTCATTGACTGCCTGCGATGATAACTGGACTCCCTATCAGTCATTTTTGGCTCACATGGTGTGCTTATGGAGGCATTCACACTGTCTGTATCACTCCATCTGGCAACAACTTTTGAATGGAAATGCTGATACTTTACACAATTGGTCTCAGCTCCTACTTTTTGCTTATTATGGAGGAATCAGTAAACCCACTTAATGATACCAATTTTGAAGTCCATTGAATCAAGATTGTCATTTGAAAAGAAAACATAAGCCATTTTAATCGTAAATAGTTGTATCTACATTACTGTAGACTGAAGTCTGTATCATTTGCAAACTATACATTTGTGGATATTGTCCATCCATGTATCATAATATTAGTGCTTCTTGTATTTGAAATTCAAGCATTAAACATGTTCCCATATTTGTAGGATGTTCCCAAGCCAACAAAGTACTATGTGAGCCACTGGAGCAGTGACCCATACTCCAAGATGGCCTATAGTTATGTGCCAGTTGGCTGTGATGCGAGTGTCTTTGACCAGATTGCTCGATCTGTAGCTGACAAGTTGTACTTCGCAGGCGAGGTAAACAATATATTACATAAGTGGTTATTTTGCTGAGCTATGTTTTTAGTCAAAATTCAAGTTGGTGAGAACATTCTTACTTGAATTTTACAGATGTTCTTTAACAAATGAACAGCATGTAATTTTGAAGATATGCTAATCTTTAACTGCCTGGACACTAACCAAAACCGTCTGGCACAGTTATCTACTCCTGACGTCGTACGACATTTCAGAATCGGCGAGTAGATAACTGGGCCAGACGAGTTTGGCTACCTGGACACCAGAGGTTAAATTTAGATAATCTAACAGTATTGGATTGTTTTGAATGATCTTCAGATCAGAACCTATCAGATCAGCATCTATTAAATGTTCTAAATGTTCTGAACCCCCTTAAAATTATTTTATTCAATGAATTTAAAATGTTAAGTACAACACACATATTATGTAACAAAACCATTTTCATGTTATTTTTGCAGGCAACAAACAGACAGCATCCACAGACAGTGACTGGGGCCTATCTTAGTGGTATACGAGAAGCCAACAAAATCATAGATTCACTTGTAGAAGGAAGACCAGCAAAACCAGAAATACCTGCTATCAAAGAAACTCCTAAATCAAAATCAAGAACAAAGGACAGAAGTCCTAAAACTGAAACTCCAAATAATGAATCAAATCCTGCTAAGAGAAAAAAGAAATCTGATACCCCAAAACCTGAAGCTACCCCAAAATCAAAGAAAGAGAAATCCGATATCCCCAAAGCAGAATCAATTTCAACTTTAAAATCAAAGAAAACTAAATCCGAAAGTCCAAAACCTGAAACAAACAAAAGCCAAGTGGCAAAGAAAAAGAAATCAGACACTCTTAAAAATGAATCTGTAGTGAAGAAACGGAAAACAAAGGCATCAAAAGATGACAGCACTGAAGAAAAGACTGATGTTAAACATATATCTCCCTCAAATACTCAAGCTTTGCTAGGCTCTATAGGTCTTGATATTGTGGGAGAATACCTTTCAAGTACAAAGGAAGATGAAACCCAAGATGACTACAAGGACATTATAACCGAAGCGCCTGACAAAGTGTTGGCAAATGGGGATGAAGCACATGAAAGCAGAAACACTCAGGAAAAAGAATCTTTAAATAGTTCAAATGTTTCTAATGGAGAACACACTGAGAACTCTGACAAAGAAACTGAAGCTAAGGAAGAACATTCTGAAAGTACAGAGAGTAAAGAGTGTGAAAATGAGACTGCATCTGAAGATTCATCAAAGGAAGAGGAAATTGAATCACAAAATGAGACTGCAACAGGAAAGGATGAACATAAAGAAGGCATTCACAAAGATGAGAATGAACCATTGGGTAATGATCTCAAGGCCAGTGATCAAGCTGAATTAAACATTGTCAAAGAAAATGTTGAGGATGATGGATCTCAAAATGGTGACAAAATGGAAGGAAATACTGTTGATGATAATGAAAATAGCAATGAATTAGAAGATAATGTAAACAAAATGGACGAAACTGTCACTCGAGAAGATGGTCTTATCAAATCTAAAATTGACAGCATGGAGGAAAATGCTGAGAGAAATTGTGATGATGACAACCAAATGGATGACAGTATAAAGGAACCAAATGTATGTGAACCAAAATTAAAGACTGCAGATGATCCGAATACATCAGCAACAGAAAGAACAAAGGACACTGAGTGTGGTGATGAAGAAGAAAGTATGGATACAACTTGAATATTAACATTAATATGCATGATTCTAAGCTTTACAAATCCCATAATTGAGATTGTGGAGATACCAGGAGAATGTTTAATAATATTTTAGACTGAATCGCATGAAAACTACAATGATCTACCATCTCTTCAGAATGAAATAACTGGTTGGGCATACATCGACATTTTAGTATTGATATTTCATAATGTTGCACCACATCAGTCTTCATACACTCCTGGTTTATATTGACTCTACTAGAAAATGATATGATGAATACTATTACAGTGAAACCTGTATATCTGAATACCTCTTGGAACCTCCAAATAACACTTTTTTGGTCCCAATTTGTTATCTCCTATAGACTCGCATATTAAGAAAAACTTGAAATGTAAACACCTGCCAATGTGAACACTTTTGGTCCCAATTTTTATCTCCCAAAGCCAAAGACTCTCATTTTAAGAAAAACTTGAAAGAAAACATGCTATTTCAAACACTTAACCAGTCCCAGTGGTGTTCAGATTAGACAGGTTTTACTACTTAATGTATTCAGTGTTGTGGTGGCTGGATCCATAGAATACTCTTACAGAATGGCGATCCATCTTTCATAGCTTTGTTTAATATTCTTTATAGAAATTATTGTATGTACATGTATATTGTATACACGTGTTATGTAAATATATCAAATGGTTTTTAACAGATGTAATATAATACAACACAAATTGAAATAGATAGAAAGTGTGAATGGTTTTGTAAATACAGTTTTTTGATTAATTCTTTTTATGAAGGTAAGGGCTCTTACCTATTAGTGTGAATGATTTTGTAAATACTTAATCATACAGTTTTTTGATTAATTCCCTTTATGAAGTCAAGGCCTCTTCTCACCTATTAGCTGCTATTTCATGTGTGGGTGGGTTAATATGGAGCCAGATAGTTTTCATCTCGACCGTGATCTTTTCAGCCAAAAAAGGAAAAGGAAAATGCACCCTGGTATATTGACCACTATGTTCAAATACAGAATCTTTTTGAAATGTTAGTCTGAGAAATCTTCGTGCATTCGGCTCCCGTATGAATGCAGTGGGGGCCAAGTTTGCATGAGCCTTGGAGGCAGTATAATTGTCCCTATCCAAACCTACCCATTTATCAAAATGAAATCTTCAATTGAAATATATTTGATTTCCTTCTACTTAACATTTCCCATATTAGTAAATCAGTAAGCCCTATTTTCAGAAGCAGAACCACCCTGATGTTCTCGTAAATGCTTTCCTTAATCTGACCTTATCACAAGATCACTGTCAGCATTAGTGAAATATGTAAGTAGTTTGTGATAGGAAAAACTTGTCTAATATTTAACGCATAAGGGTCAGAGCATCCTAACACACACGAGCTCTCGGGAGATCAATCTGAATCATACTTCAGAAATCTGAGGAAATTAAAATGATCTTTTTGATTATTCCAGTAGAACTAAAACATCAATTTTATCCCTGGCTTTGATTTGATCTTGATATACACGATAAAAAGTGGCAGGCTATGTAATTGTCATTGATTTTCAAAATTTGGAAATTTTTCAAAATTAGTGACACATTAGTTCCTATAATAAACTGGAGAGGAGCCGACTTTCATATGGGATAGGTCTCACAATGTAAATTACACAAATGCAGTAAAATAACATTTTAAGATGGTAGTTTCTGATACTATCTACCAATTAAAAGAAAAAAATAACTGAATATTTACAACTTACAACTAGTTTTCCGTATCAAACTAACATTATAGGCTAATAGACCCAATAAATAAGACCTCACTTCAGTTCTTTCTGACAGGTAATCTCTAGATATCTAATCTCCATGCATGGTTAAGCTACATCTGAGGATTTATTGTATAGAACATACCTCGCATCATCACCATCATTACTAGCATTTAGATCCAACCTCATCTACTTCCACCCTGAGACTTAGAAGTTGGTACAGAGTAGCGTATACGCTCTAACCCCCCTATCACACCAAACTCGTTCTTACCCGTTCTTGCCAGTCCTACGAAAACGTCGTAAAACGGGCTCAATCTGGCTGTGGTCGGGAAATATGTCTGAAATAATTAGCTTCTTCGTTCTTAAACAGTCTTCAATACGTCCATCTCGTTCGCAGTTCGTTCAGGTCGCACCACGTCGGTGTGCAACGCCGTAGAACGCGTCCCTTAGTCTAGAAGGTCATCATGACCTGATAACAGAACGGTATGGTCGCAATCGAATTTTGAATCGATTCAAAATTCTAAAATCACATTCCCGTCTGAGAACGTTCATGAAGTTCGTAAATAGACCTTAGAAAGTTGCAGGTACGTTCATTCCGTTCGCACACAGTTTAAAACCAGTTTTGAAGAACGCAGGGGCAACTTGTTTGGTGTGATAGCTATATTTTTGCTAACTCGTTCATAAGCAGTGTTAAATACGTTCTTAATCAGTTTAAACCCGTTTGCAATGAGTTCTACCTCGTTCTCAACACGTCCTCGGACAGTTCAACTCGTTGTTAAAACGTCCCTAGTAGGATTGAAGTACGACGGTTCCGTTCGTAGTACGTCCCGCTCGTCGTTAGTACGTTGTCACTCGTTCTAATTGTAGAACGTGACGACCACGAGAACATTTTGAGCATTGTCTAAGTTCTAGAGGACCTACCCGTTCGAGTACGTTCGATGAAGTTTCTAAATGGATCCCAAACGGTTCTTAGTACGTCCAGTCCGTCCGTACACAGTTGAAGCCCGTTTTCGAGAACGTAGTGAGAACTAGTTTGGTGTGATAGTAGGGTAACTAAGAGATAATCCTACAGTTTCCATACTGATAAAATCTTAAGGTGGCCTATAACCTTGTTAATTTTTTGTTGAGCCCCTCAATAAAATTACGATTTTTCTGCACCATGATGTCCAATCAAGATCAGTCGAGTACCTATGTGTTCATGAGACATTTGGGCATCCGGGAATGACAAAGTCTACCTAAAGTGTGCACCCTATATTGTGACTGAAATCGGGAAGACAACATTCGACTGAGTGGCTTCACAAAAAAATAAACAAGGTTATAAGCCTCTTAATGACAACCAAACTTGCTGTGATGGTCTTTCATAGAAGTTTGAACATGAAGAAATTCAATAACAAGGGTTATGGAGTTCATAGTCTGATATGATTCCCTTTGGAGGCAGCATTAGTTTAGCTGATATCTATATTTAATTTTTGGCCTTAATGAAGCATGTGAACTACTGTCTAGGGTAATATCGCCTGATATGAATTAAATGGAGTTGGTCTGGAGGTAGCTATCATCCTTGGACTACCTGTTTCAACATATGGAATTTGGAATATGAAGAGAGGACATCAAAACTCCATATAGCATAAGGACCTTCCCTTAGGTCCAGCTGCTTGTATTATTTAGAAACAGCTCTGTTTTAAAGATACGAAATCGAAATACTTGAAAAAGGTAAGAAAGCCTATACACTGTCCATGTTCTTAATTGTTTGTTGAATATCCGTACTACATAATAACAATTGGAAAAAATGAGATATGAATACTTTGATACGTTTAACTCGATTTGCCCAAATCTAACTGTATTGACTACCGAAGAAAAGGCTAATTATATGTTTAATGCTGAGGGTAACATGTGTATCACCTTTGCAAAATACCTTTATGAAATAATTGAAAAGAGATCAACAACTATATTATCAATATAAATATATACATGTAGGTGTAGGCTAATAGTAGTTGTTGGTATATATCTAATGATCAGTCAATCACATTATATTGTCATTATATGCCATGTAAAATTTGCATTGTATGTTATTGTAATTGTATGTATAGTTTTAGTTTTATTTTATCATGTTTATTTGCTGTACACTCACCCGAAAGGGATTTTTAGTACAATAAAGCATTGAATAATAATAGACTAAGAGGATATACATATTTGAGATATCGCATGTCATTGGCTTCCCTTTTTATGTCACCACCACAAGCAGTGACATTGTTGTCTCCAACTTTCTTGCGAACGGTGTTCCGCGGTTGAGCGTCTGTAACAAATGGCAGGTTGTGTTAATGGTATGTTTCCACTTATTTTTGAGAACGTTTCGTCCACATTCTTTGAATCTTAGAAATAATCGTTAGATTTAGCCAGAATAAGTTATCAAAATTATAAACTATCCGATCTGATCAGAATAATAGTCAAAGAATTTTATGCCTAAATAAGCACCAGAAACATCATTTTGTTTTATATTCTCATTAAAGGGCATGCCATCTACATTTGGGGCCATTAAGATCTCGTCAACATCCAAAGCGATATATACAGTTGTCCATCCTAGAGGGTAGTAATCACTACTAGTCTATTGTTTTCAGGGTAATCATTTGTATGTTTCAGCTCCTTAAAGTAAAAACATATTTATTAGGACTTTAGAATACTCAGATTATGATTGGGGTTTGAGACGGGTCTGTTATTTAAACTGAAAGCGGCCCTCCAAAACACTTTGAATCAAATCATGCGAATACCAGTTTGAAAATGTTCTGAAAGTGAAGGCCTCTCAAAAGATTGTTCTTTGGAGCATAATCTTGAAATCTAGCCTTCTAGATGCCTACTGATATCGAGGGAATGATACAGGCCCACCTCCAATCAAAGGTGTTTGATTGACAGCAACATGTGACCTACACAACATTCTTACAACAAGGTCAGATCTTTCCTGCTGGAAAAAGATTCATAGCTTCTCCTTTCCAAGAAACAACTAGATGTTTGCAAATGAATATACATTGTAAATATGTATCGTCATGAAATAAAATTTCCACCACGATTGGAAAACAATTTGAAATAGGGAAATGGTTTTGTTTGCAGTGGTATAAGTATGCGCGCCTGGTTGGGGCTATTAGTTGTAGATTCGATCTTTTGTTGGACTAATTGTTTGGAAGAGCATGCCGCGTAATGGTTCGAAGATACATCATTATTTTAGAAACGTTTCGTTAGTTTACGAGTCAAAATAACGTATTATATGTACATTTATAAGTCATGCGTGTATAGCAGGATCTAGTAAATCGCCTGCGGAAATTATCCATTTCGTACTTTACTCGGTTCAGTAATCTTGCACTTTTAGCTCTATCTGGTTCAAAATTAACATTCCACGGCGAGTATTCACACATTCACAATAATTTAAAACAAATCCTATCTATATTTGGGCTCCCTGTATGTAATTTTTCAGAGAGGAACGACTTCATGAGCGCAATGGCGGATCTGCCCCCCTCTAGGATGGTTTCAGAAAAATTGGCCCAAAATGTTTTTGAGGGGAACAATTTGTCGGC